CGTTGGTCCAACACTTGCAGGAAAGCCTGCATTAGTGTAAGTGAGATCCCGTAGGTCTGTGGCACATTCTGAATTCCCCCTGGGTGGCCTGGTTAAAGGCCACTCTTAGTGGTGGCTGTGGACATAGATGCCCCCTGAAGGATGGAGGTTATGACCTAAGGCTGCCTGGGCACACAGCTCCGGGGGCCGCTGTTTCACTGTGACCTATGCAAAGGGTGGCCTCCGGGGGCCAGTTCCACTGAAGCCTGAAGGGCGCAGAGCCTCAGCTGTGTTCCTGCCTCCGATCCGTGAGCTATCAGAGTGAATGACTACAACCGGGGACGTGGATGTATCCCTGACATTCCTGTGGTCATTCCAAACTGAAAAGGGAGGTGGCATATTCTATTTAAACTTCTGACATTTCCCCAAATTTATGAGATAGCCGGATCCTGGGGGTACCGTCACTTGCAGTGTTCTGGGCCCTGCAGGGAGCCTCTTTATCGTCACAGAAAACGGACAGCTTTCTAAGTCCTGCGTACCTCTCCCAGTGCAGGGGTGGAGTCCAGCCGCTAGCCAGTGTCTCCTGAGGTAGTTGCCTTGGGACAGACAGGTGACACCAATATGTGCAGTGGCCAGGTGTGGAGTGAGAGAATGGGGACACCAGCGACACCCACACAAAGTGTGTCATTCTGTCGCACAGGTGCCGTACAGGACTCCTCTGGGGGAATGCATGCAAAGGGACGTCGGCGAACCTGAGTCAACACCAATATTTTTATTCCTGTCGAATCTGTTTTCAAATCCTGATCTCCAGGGTCACGAGCAAAATCTGGAGCAGTGAGAAAATGTGACCTTGTTACAGGGTCACAAGCCAACCCTCTGCCCCTTTGGGAGGGACAAAGGGAGCGCTGGGGGAAGGCGTGAATGCTGGCAGGTGTGGATTTTACCAGCCGGGTCTGGGCAGCTTACCTTCCACACAGCCCCTCATTGGAAGGCTGCTATGGTTACCAAGTTGTTTTGCATTTTGCCAAATACCTAGAGTTTGAAATCAGAGTTTTAGGCTCATAAATGTAAATCTGAGTGGCGGGGAGAAAACAGATCTGGGGTAGGTGTTGGGATAAAGCAGACAGAATGGCTCTGGGTTTATAATGCAGGTGGTTAATACGAATTGCATTATTTTGCTTGGCTCAGAAGCGACCCCAAATCTTCTTTATTACGAGTGCCTCAGCTGCTCGCCGGATCGTTTCAGCTCTTATGGGGAGAGGCTGCGACATCCTGGCTCTCTAACAGAGGGGGTGGTAGCGTTTCAGTGTTCCACTTTTATATCCTCACTCTCCAGAAATTTGGGCCATTTTGTGCATTATTAAGGACGACCACAGCCTTTTGCATTTGCCGTGATTACACTGGTGGCCAGGGTACGAAGCAATCGGGGTTGGGCACAGCCAAATGCAAATGCGGAAGACGAGGGTTTGAGGACTTTGCAGGGGGGGAGTGAGTGGCCTTGAAGAGCCTGCACCTGCCCGTGGGGTGCGCGGGGACACGCTTGCCTCTGAGAGGGTCTTGCAATTTTTGACGAAATGGCAGCGATTTTCCACCTGTTACAAGCCAGCGGCGATAACCTGCTCGTGGAAGGGATGGTGGATTATTGCCTGGGAATCGAAACAGTGAAAACCCACTGAAATGCTTCTGTTGTGGGCAACAGTTTAGGCTTTTATTCCACACAGAGACAATGAACTGAAAATTAACTCTCGTTTTGAAGCTAAAGGGTACAGATAGCTGGAGTGAGCTTGGTTCCTGGGTCGGTCTCCCAACACCTCTGTGCCCATTTGTGTTTTACCTGGATTTTTATTTGATGGTTTGTCTTCACCTAGTTGTTAAATGTGATGAACAGTTTTGTGTTTTGATCTCACTCTCTATCTCTATAACATTTTAAGATTTAATGATGTTATTTTTCTGAGCATAAGGATAATTTGTGTGGACGCTAGAGAAGTTAGACAAAATCATGGGCAAAATAAATATTACCCAAATCACCCCTCCCAAGGGAGCAGTGTTTATATTTTGGTACATTTCTTTCAACTTCATTTTCCAACATTGTATCATATTAATTGAGTGCCTACTACATGGCAGCCACTAGCAGTATTTAGTCTGCGGGTGTCTGTGTATTTATTTATTTATTTATTTCTGAATTAAGATCTGCAGTGCATGGGATTTTGTGTGCTGCTAATGCTTCATTCCTTATATTTCCCCATGCCTAGGCAGTAGCTTTTTAATTGATACATATAATTTATCATACAAATTTATACTGATCTGTTTAATTGTTTGCTTAGTTTTACATATGTGGGAGGGTCCCCATTTCTAGTTGCTACAAATTATGGTCTGTGCATAAATTTGTGTGCGTATTCATTTAATTGATACTAGAGGATGAATTGTAAAGGAGGCTCCACAGTCAAAGGTATGAACGTTATGTGAGCTTTGGGTACTTAAATCCCAAATGTGCTCAACAAATATTTTGGGATTCTCTCTTCTACTGTGAAGGTGAGCATTATTCCACAGTACTTCTCCTGTATGTTACACTCTTTTCAAGCCTCCACAATCTGATGTTTTAACATCTCATTTTTCCATTAATTTATAATTTTATTATTAATAAGTACTATATTTTATATACTGGTTTGTCACTCAGCTTTCTGTTACTGTGATAAAATACCTGAGAAAAAAACTTGAAAGATGACATGTTTATTTTTGTTCATGGTTTTAGAGTGTCCAGTCCATGGCTACTTGGCTCCATGGTTTTGAGGTCTGTGATGAGACAGAACATCATGGCAGAATGGCAAAGGGAACTCTTCACCGCATGGCAGCCAGGAACCAAGAAAAAGACAGAAGAACCCAGGGTCCCAATATCCCTTTCAAAGCCAAATGCCCAATGACCTAACTTCCTCTTGCTAGGCCCCACCTCTTAAAGGACTCACCACCTCTCAGTAGCACCACACCACAGGGTGGTGACCAAGCCTTGAGAATATGGGGCTTTGGGAAATACTTAGGGTCTGAACCATAACAGTTGGCTAGCTATGTATTTTTCCACGTTTAGAAATTGTTTTCAAAACCACAATCTTTTATCCATTTGCCCCTATTCTGAGTCTGTCTTTCCACTTTTAATTTGTTCATTGTTTTCTAGTTTGAGTGTCTCTGGACAATTTTGCTGGTCTCTGCTGCCATTTCTTGTTTTATGCCCACAAAATCTTTTCTACCTTGAGCCTTTATGTTAGCTTCTGTCATGTGACAAAGTACATGAGAGAAACAATTTAAAGGGGAAAATGTGGGTTCACAGTTTCTGAGGTTTCAGTCCATGACTGGCTAGATCCATTGTTTGAGGTGAAGCAGAAGCATCATGGTGAAAATGTGTGGGGCGAAAAACTGGTCACCTCAAGACAGCAGGAAGTAAAGAGAATAAGAGAGCCTGAGGGGGTAGGACAGGACCAGACATAGTCCTCAAAGTCACATACCCATTACTCACTGCCTTCAACCAGGCTCCATTTCTGAAGATTCCATCATCCCCCAATAAGGCCATCCAATTATGACTCCACCGATGGGTTAATCCAGTGCTGAAGTAAAAGCCTTCATCATCTAATCACCTTTCAAAACCCATCAAGAGGCAGCCAAGTGCCTAGCGTGTGACCTTTGGGGACCCTCCAGACCCAAAGCACAGCAGCTTCCCTATATTTTTCTCTGGTTGTCTGGCTCAGTTTGTGTGTATTTAACTTGTTAGACCATCTGGAGCTTATTTTGATATATGACAATGTAAGGAATGGAACTAACTTTGTTTTCACTCACTAACTCAATTATTGCTGCATTTTCTTGGTATGTGGGGGGCATGTAGAGCTCATGAAGGTGGAAAACTGAGCAGGTGGGAGCTTCATGTCCCCATCGTCACTGCTGCAATTCTCATCCCCAAGTGCAAAGGATGTTGGATTGATTATGCTCATTCAATTAGTATTTATAACAATTTTATTGAGATGCAATTCACATACTACACAGTTCACCCACTGAAAGTGCAGAACTTGGTGGCTTTTAGGGTTATAAAACTGTGCATCCATCACCATAGCCAAATTGGAACATTTTTATTACCTAAAAAATAAGTCCCACATCTCTCAGCATTCACTCTCCAGTTTCCTTGTACTGTTCAGCTTTCCCATTGCTGGGACAAAATACCTGACTCCCATAATTTAAGGAGATGTTTATTTGGCTCATGGTTGTGGAGGTTTCAGTCTGTGGTCAGCTGGCTGCAAGGCAAGAACATCATGGTAGAGGGGCCTAGGGGAGCAAAGTTGCTCAGTTCATGGTGGCCAGGAAGTGGAGCACAGGGAAAGAGCATCCATAAGACACACACCCTCCCAAGGCTCGCCCCCATGACCACCTATTCCTGCTGGGCCCCACTTCTTCCAACTGGACCCCACCTCCAACAGCACATCCAGCCGTGAACACCAGTGGAATAATCCGTGTTCCAGTCACCTATCTAGGAGTTGCTTAACTCAAGTCAAATTGACAATTGAGATTAACTGGTGCATCCACCACTACCTCAGATCAAGGCAGCCATCAACTTATCTCTTTCTCTACAGAGGTGGTTATTCTGGGCATTTCATATGTGTGGAATCACACAATATGTGGTCCTTCTGGCTTTGCTCACTGAATCTGGCTTCTCTCACTGAGCAGAATGTTTGTGAGGCTCATCCATGTTGTAACATATGTCAGTACTTCATGGCTTTTGTTGCCAAGTAATATTCCGCTGCACGACTACACCACATTTTATTATATCTATTCAGTTGAGGGCCATTGAGTTGTTCAACTTTTTGGAATCTTGATTTCCAGCATTCTGTGGATGTGGCCATTCCATTCTCAGGGCGACCTTCTAAATTTCTCATAAAGCATAATATTCCTGCCAAGGGCCCGATTACCCTGCTCAGGAATTCTCAGTTGAGTTGAAGCCCACTGGGATGACCACAGGGGACCTGGAAAGTCACTCTTTGGGGTCTGGGCCTTCAATTCTTTAGCTTATAGGAAAACCTGCAGATTCTTAGGGGTGACTGGTGATGGGTGTGGGGCCCCCAAGTATGACTGCCTGCTTATGGGTTTGCACTGTCAGTTTTCATATCAAGTATCTCTAATCTTGGTCCTCACTGAAAGGTGTCACATAGATTCAGCCTGACTTGCAGGTAGCCATCACCACCATGACTGCCCCTTTATGATGCTGGTCAGCTTTTCCCCATGTCATAAAGCCAATGGGAGAGGGATAAGGAGCCTGGGAGCCAAGCTAGAGTTGGTCGTCATGGACCTTGTAGTGATCACAAATTCAACCCTGGACAGGCTTGGCCTCTGAGGCTGGTTCTGGTGGGGCTGTGACATCCTCACTCTGGGTGAGTAAGGAATTAATTCTTGCTGTGCCCAACCTGTGGCAGAAAACAAGTTAGTTAAACAGATTCCAGGTGACCCCCCTGATGGTGCACATGAAGATTTATGCAAAAAAGGAGACAGACCTAAAATCCTTCCTAAAGGTGCTCCGGCCACCGCTCCAGCCAGACCTCAGGGCTGCTCTATCTTCCACAGTCTGCTGCTCATTGAGGGCTGCACTATCATTCTGGGCTTCTGCTTCATTTGTTAGGCTGTGACCCTACGGTGAAGCCAGGGTAGGACTTGCTCATAACCGCAGCTGGAAAATTAAATTTTATTTTCAACGCATCTTTACTCTTCTTGCTGCAGATTTGTCTGGCTCCATGCCAGTCTCCCTATGGCTTTGGTTTTAATATCTGGTCATAAACCCCTCAATGTTACAGCTGCAATAAGCTGGTCCTGGTGTCGTGTTCCTCAATAGAGCTAATTAAATTCTGAGCACTGTGTGTGAATGGAGATTATAAACCTCCTTGGCCAGTGACAGTGGGTTGGATGCTCTTGACTGGCATCTGGGTGAGCATTCGGATTATCTTTTAACACTAGTGTCCACACAGAACAGACTGAGCCGTCTGGGTTTGTGTGGGAAGCCACATTTCTAAGGGTCTTTTAGAAATCCTAACATGCTTCCACCTTCACCTATCTACCTCAGAGAGATGAAGACATCCATTCACAGAGGCCTACACAAGAATGATCATGGTGGTAGTCTTGGTTTTAGCCCTAAACTGGAGACAACATCTGTCACCGAGAGAATGGATAAGCAGGCCGAGGTACAGCCATACAATGAGCCATTCAGTGAGAAAGAAGTGGGTTAAACAAAAATCTAAGCAGGATGTAATAATTACTTGTGGTGTCAACTTGAATGGATTAAGAAGTGTGTACCAGATTAGTGGAGCATGGTTTGAGCTGTGTCTGTATGATTGACTTCTGAGCCCCAAACTGAAGGGGGAAGACCCACCCTGGGTGTGGGTGACACCAACTAATAGGAGCCTGGGTGGAATAAGAAGGAAGGCTCATTTCTGCTTCCTCAGAGGAGCTCCAGTCTTTACATTTGGATGTTCATTCCACTTCCTTCAGCTTCCAACACAGACTCCTCAGGCTTCCAAAGCAGACCCTTTGGATTTCTGATGTGGACTTGCACAACCTCTGCAATGAGTTCCAGATCTTTGGCTTTGACTAGGTCCTCTGGCTCTCCCATGTGCAGAGTGCCCTTTGCATTCTTCCACCCCTGACTCTGCAGATAGGCATTGTAAGCCTAATTTGTAAATTCTCTCTATATTATATTAAATCTGTCCTTCTAGTGAACCTTAACTAACTGATACATTAGAGGATTATATTTTATAGAGATGAGTCTTGGTGGGAGCTTAGGGGAACTTTCTGGGGTGATAAAAATACCTCATATCTTGATTAGTGTGGTGGTTATTGTGGTAGATATGTTTGTCAAGCTCACCCAAGTGAGCACCAAAAATCTGGCATTTCAGTCTATAAATGTTCCCTCATAATAAAAGGTTCCATGGTGACCCTACCTTGCAAGTTACTGGAAATTAGGGTGTCTATCTCTCTCACCTTTCAGGATAGAACATCTTGGGCTCAGTATCAGAGTGTAGAACACAGATGGGGATCACCACAATCAATCCCTTTGGGATGTCATGCATTGGTCTCTGGGGTCTTCTTATGGATCCTCTCCAGATGTCCCCTGTGCAAAGAGTCCAGATGCCCTATCTGGAGGAGATGGCATCCCACTTATCACTGGACTTTAGGGCTGCAGCCACTTTTCCTTTCTCTGATGGTCTGTGACTATGTAGTCATGGTCTGTGACTTGGCAGCATATGGCTACCAAGTGTCTACTCAATGGCTCCCAGCAGTGGCAACTCAGCCCAGTCAAACAAAGCCCAGCACCAGCTCCTAACTCAGATGCTTGGAGCATCATGTATAACAGGAATTGCATGGCTCTATTGACCTGGGTTGGCATCTGGATAATGTGGCTAGGGGATGCTGGCATTGGAGGATGGGTATGGTGCTTACCACCCACTTGTTGCTCCTCCCAAGATGCTTAGTGACATTCACAAAGAAGTCTAACTCCTGTCCAATCAGCAGAGCCACCTTCTTCCTTCTGATGCAATAGCAAGCAGAAACACCAAAATGACACCCAGGATTTGGAGGCAGATTTATTTACATTGATAGGCACTAATCAGGATCATTTCCAGAATATCAAGTCCCAAGCTCTGGTGGTCTAGGGCTTTTATATGATGCACAAGCAGGAAGTACAAAGGCGAGACAGAACAGCCTAGCACTTCTTCTGATTAGCTAGCAGGGTGAGATCACTGGTTACAAGGGTAGATTAATGCTCATCAGTTCATGAAGCTTGGTACAATGGTACAATCAGGCATCCTGTATGTTCAGTTATGCTCTTGTGGTTATAGGGGTCAAGAAAGTAATTACAAAGCCATGAAGAAGTTACAGAGTTAGGCAGTTTCAAAAGAACACAATTTTAAAAAGAACAAGTTCTCTTGTACCATTTTTCCCTTCTACTGACAGTGAGGCAAAGCCGTAGATACTCATCAGAAGGAGTGGGAAATAAAAACCACCCAGAGACTTCATGTGTGGTGTGGTGACCAGAGCAGATCCAGCCCTGTGTGGGATCCATGGGGTTCTGGATGCCAGGTGTGTTAGTCCACTTTCCATGGCTGTAACTGAATACTGCAGTCTAGACAGTCTATAAAGAATAGAGGTTTACTTAGCTCATGGTTCCAGAGGCTAGGAAGTCCAAGAGCATCTGGCAAGATCCTTCTTGTTGCATTGTGGCAGACAGCATCTGGGGTGAGACAAAGCAAGTGTGCTGGTGCAGGTCCTCTCCTTAGGAAGCCACTAATACCTCGATAGCGGCACCATTCTCCTGACCTCATCTGATCCTGGTAACCTTCCCAGAGCTCCAGTTCCAAAGACCATTAATAGATGAATTTCGGGCTATATCTCTAACACATGAATTCTAGGAGGATGCATTCAAATTACAGTAGGGGGGACATTAGAGATGTGAAAATTCTCCACATATCCCTTTTCCAGAAGAACTAGAACATGAGTGATTGTGGATGGAACAGTGGTTGCCACATGTCTAGGGTTTCCATGTTCTCTGTGCTGGGACCTCCCAGCCCCTGTTCAATCCCACACAAGTCTCCCTGACCCTCACCACCATTTTCAGAGCAGGAATCAGAAGTGAGACACTGGCCTGGGATCACACAGTGGGCAGGAGGTAAATCCTCAAGTCAAGGCCGGCACCACCTAGAGCCCACCCTGACCCCCTCTGGGAGTGCTGCTTGTGAGCCCTGGGTTGTGATGTGGCCGGTCAGGATGACAAAGGGACAGGGCTCCAGGGGGAGTTAGAAACATGAGGACAAGAGTCGGGTGAAGAACAACGAACAGTAACAAGACAGCAATGCTCTTGACGAAATGCTTTTCCTGAGCACCTCATCGTTCACCCAAGAACCTCTCATAAACAGCTTGGCCTTCCCCATCTACAATCCTTAGTGGCACACAAAAAGGTCTTAAAATCTTCCCTTTATTGTATTTTTATTTTATCCTGTAAAAAATACTTATTTTTGGAGTATGCTTTATTATGTACATAATATATTTGTGCAGTGTACATGGAATGCTTCATAAATAAGTAAACACACATATATTTGTGATGCTTGCTTGGCAAATTGTTATTCCCATGGGTGTGAGGCCAGAGATCCTGGAGAACTGGAATCACTGGGCCTGCGTGGGAAGTGCTTTTTCTCTTTGAACCCACTTTCAAACCACATTGTGTTACGTGGAGAAGTTGTTCTCACGACACGGAGCGTTGTCTTTATCTTTTTGGCCAAAGTTTACAAATGTCTTCCCCATGCATCATCTCACATGGCAGCTACAGCAGCCTGAGGTCTCTGAACAAAGTGGAATGAGAGTCCACACCAGAGGAGGTGTAGGGGTGACCCTCAGTCCCGAAACCCTGAGTTGAGCCAGGCACAGTGGCATACTCCTGTAATCCCAATACTCTGGGAGGTTGAGGCAGGAGGATGACAAGTTCAAGCCCAGCTTGGGTAACTTAGGAAGGCCATGTCCAAAAATAAAAAATAAATAGGATAAATAAAAAGAATGTAGCTCAGTGTGAATCCCCTGGGTTCCATCTCTAGTACCATTAGAACAAACAAACAAACAAAACACCCAGAGTCGGGAAAGATGACTTAACATTTAAGGTCATAAGGCAGAGGCAGCAAAGAGATCAAGAGGATCCTGGAATCTCATAACCCATCAGCCAGCCAACTCCTGAGCCCCAAGCCCAGCAGGTGTCAGATGCACTGGGTGAATCCAAAGCTGAGGGCCGCAGTGCACAGACTGTGCAAACACCGTGAGGACGCAGAACTCAGTTCTATGATGTGCATGTGGACTTTGGGGAAGTCAGTGCGGGACCCTGGGGGTCCATCTGCCATTGCCGCTGGCTGCTTCTTCAATAGGCGCAGGAGAACACAGGCGTGAGTCAGAAGGGTCAATGTTAGAAGGGGTTTGCAGAGGTGGACAGACAGGAATGGGACCTGTGAAGGAGAGTACACCAATGTGGAGAAAGACAAGGTAGTGAAGTGAATACTGCCTGCTACTAGGGAAATGCAGACTAAGACTACCAGAGCCTGGTGCCACCTCCCCACCAGACTGGTGGCAGCTGGGACACCCACAAGATGAGGAGCACCTACCATCACTCATGCCTTGGAGGAGAGGGTGCAGGTTGCATTTGGCACTCTGGAAGCAGTGACGAAGCTCCTGGTAAAGTCACCCCCGCCATGGACCAATGGTTTCCCTCCTGAGTGTCCATCCAAGAAACATGATGGTATATGCCCACGCAAAGATAGGTGCAAGAATATTTGTAGCACTTTTAATCATAATCATGCCAAACTGGAAAGCCCCCAGTACTATCCATGACAGAAAGGGAAGATAAATTCTGGTACATGCAGAGTATGAAATGCCAGCCATGGAGTGGATGGGCTGCAGTGATACACTGTGCCAGCAGAGTTCATAGCACAATGCCGGGCATGGGGCCCAGAAAACTGAGGCATCTAGGACACTATCACAAGTATCACAGTTGTCTGCAATTCAAAACCAGGCGATGCTGGGCTATAGTCATAGAGCTGTTGGGGTGGCGTGGGGTGGTAGAAAATTAGGAAAGAAGAAGAGGAACTTTCTGGAAGAAGCTAGAAATGTCTATGTCTTGATTTTATTGGTGGTACATGGGAGAAATGTAAAATTCGCTGAATTCTACATTCCAGCCATGTGTGGTTTACTGTACATTTACTGTAGATACCATAGCCAAAGTAGTTTTAGAATCTAACAACCAGCATCAAATTGAAAGAGAGGATGATTCAGGTAATGAGCTGAATTGTTGCATCGACTTTCTGTTGCTGTGACAAAATACCTGAGACAATCAACTTAAAAGAAGGAGAGATTATTTGGGCTCATGGTTCCAGAGGTTTCTGTCCAGGGTCACTTGGCTCTATCACTCTGGGCCTGTGGCGGCTCATGCATCATGGCAGGGCATGTGTGGTGGAGCCAAGCAGCTCAACTCATGGCGACTATAAAGCAGAGACACGGGGATGGGCCAGGGACCCAATATCCCCTTCAAGGCCGTGCCCTCAGTGATTTCACTTCGTGCCATCAGCTGCACCTTGTAATGGTTCCACCACTTCCCAGCAGTGTCAGGGGCTAGAGACTACACTGTAGCAACTGCGTTCCAGTCATTCACTGGGAGATAGCTTCCATTTGTTCCGAGAAGCCAGAGTCGTATTCTTTGAGCTATTCTTATTCTGGCATCAGTGTCCTGAAGCAGAACTACACATCTTCACAAAAATGTGTCCAGGGCCCTGTCTGCCCTGCCTGCCGCCTCCCATCACCGAAGGCTATAACATCCTCGTCCGCCCGCTGCAGGAGAAGCTCTGCCCAGCATCAGTATTCCAAAGCAAAACGTCCTCTCCTTGAAGCATCATTGAACAAGATGTGTTTTGGAGATTGGATACATGTAGATTTATTTAGTTTCTAAAAACAGCGCCCTGTACTTTAGGGCCACTGAGCTAGTCTGCCCAGCTTTATCATTCAGAAAATGGGGTAGAGGCCTTGCTCCACTGCCAGGCATCTGCAGAGTTGCGGGGGTGTGGGAGAGGGGGCCAGGCAGGCTCCTTTCCCAGCATGGATGTTTTACGCAGAAGAGAGGAAGCTGTTGGCTTGCAGGACTGTGTAGTTCAGCAGCGAATCTGAGTCCCCAGGGTGGCCCTCTGAAAGGGTCACATGCTCACTGAGCGGAAGGAAATTAAGCAGAGCATGCGCAAAGCCTGTGTCTAAGTTTTCCCTTCCTTTCTGCCATTATGATGGAGCTGAGGCTGGAAAGAGGTCCCATTAGGAGGACTTGCCACTCTATCTGGCCTCTGGTTCTGCAGCCTTTGCCTCAGGATACCTCACCTGCCTCCTGGCTACACCCAACCCTCCTCTCGTCTCCCTGCAGGCCACTCTTAGAGAAGTGCTTGCATTTATTCCAGTCAAAGGCTAAGCTGGACTGGACAGAAGGACAGGAAGACTTTGGATGTCAATGGGGACCGGGCTGGAGCTGTCCGTCCTGGAATCTTCAGTACCCCTGAAACTCGCTGTCCTGCTTTGGGCAGTGACACAACCCCTACTCCTGCAGCCAGGTCTGTCCCCCTGCTCCGCCTGGGCCGCAGGTGTGGGCAGGAAGCGGACGTCTTAGTTTCAGCTCATAATTTCAGCTCTAGTAAAATCTTCCCATGTTTTTTCTACCTGTCCTAAATTCATCTGTGCTCTGGGCTCTTTAGCCCATAGTAATGACGTGCAGGACTGGGGAAAGGCAAGTGGATGTGGTTGGCTTCATATTATCAGCTACAAAGACAGGGAAGAAGTTTGGCATGGTGGCGACTGAGGTCTGTAAGGTCAGGACTCTGGGAGGCTGAGGCTGGAGAATTGCAAATTCAAGCCTAGCCTGGGCAGGTTAGTGACTTAGTAAGACCCTGTTTCAAAATATGCAGGAAGTATAGCTCAGTGTGAAGGCCCTGGGTTCAATCCCTTGTGTCACAGAAAGGGTGGGAGTCGGGGAAGAAAATGCTGAAGATTCATGCCTGGGATTCAGGATGCAAACCTTTTACCTGTTATTGCTCCAGTTCCTTGCTCCTATTGGCTCCTTCTTGTCCACGCCTTCTTCTTAGCCTCGGTGACCCTTGTGTTTTGCATCACAAAGTCTCTGTGGGGCTTGATGTGGGAGACGCTAGAAGCACAACGACAGCACTGGACAGACACTTGTCATTGGGCAACCGGTGCCCCCACAGACAGGCACTTGGCCATCTAAGATAAAACCTCTGTTCATCAGAGCTATGATCAAGGCTGGAGTTGGGTTACTGAAAGAGAAAGGGGTGTTCTGAAATCTGAATCGAGTGAGAACAAGACTCTCATTGCATTGTATTTCTTAACCTATTTCAGACGTGTGAAGCGGCTTTCCTGCTGTGCTGAGTCCGGTCAAGGAACATAAACCTTTCCAGAATTTACGGATTGTGTGAGTTTGAGCAGGGACCTTGCCTGAGAGGAAATGGGCTCAAATTCTAGACTGAGGGGAGAATGGGACAGCAGTTAGCATTTAACAATGGGCTCTGCATAGGAATGGGTGCTGATTGCTGGTCTTTACCAAGATTGTGGTGGACACCCTCCTCCAGGGCCAGCTTCCGGTTGCAATGTGCTGTCCCTGACAGTGAAGTGGGGATAGGATGGACAGGACTGATACCCACAGCGGTAAGGTGGTAAGGTGGTTCTAGCTCATCTCTGGTATCTGTCCCGGAAGACCTTTTGAAAATTTTTTTCCTTTTAAATTCCAATAATGAATTTATTCTGCTGTCACCTGGCTCCTTTTGCCTGAAAGGAAAGTGCGGAGAGAAAATCTGGCCAACTAGAAGGTTTCAGTTTGATGTTAATAGTTATAACAGAAGCTTATATGTGGAGACCTTGCTGAACTGCCTTATTAGTTCTATAATTTTTTTGTCAATTCTTCAAAGTTTTCTATACAGACCATCATCTTTTCTGCAAATAATGGTGGGTTTATTTCTTTCTTCCCAATGTATTGCTTTCATTTTCAACACAGTACTTCCAGAGCTATGCCAAATGGCTGTGGTGAGAGGGGACTTCTTGTTTTGTCTCCAGTTTTAGAAGGAAGTTTTCAATCTTTCACATTAAGTGGATTAGTTGCTACTGGCTTTTTCTAGATGCTCCTGATTAAGTTGCAAAAATTCCTCTCTATTCTTAGTTTTCTGAGAGGTTGTTGTCGTGAATAAATGTTGTGTTTCATCAATTATCTTTTCTACATTAATTGATATGTGTTATTTCCTTTAGTTTGTCAACATCATAATTGCATTGATTGATTTTCAAAGACTGAATCAACCAAGAATAGTCACTGGGTCCTGGTGTGTGACATTTTATATTTTGCTGAGTTCTATTTGCTAACAGTCTATTACTAATTTTCCTGTCTACATGCACCTAGGACGTTGGCCTGCAATTTTCTTTCTTGAGTGTCAGGCCAGTACTGGCTTCATGACATTTGTTAGAATGTTTCTGCATTTATTATTTTCTGGAATAGATTTGTAGAACTGTTATAATTCTTTAAATATATGGTGCAGTTATTTAGTGACTATCTAGAGGTTTCTTTTTCTGGGTATTTAAAATTATGAGTACCATTTCTTTAGCAATGTAGGAACACTCAAATCTATCTCAGTTTTTCATTACCATAATACTGGAGGTAGGCACCTTTATAAAGAGAAAAGGTGTATTTGAGTTCACAACTCTGCAGATGCCAGGTCCAAGGGCCTCACCTGATGCTGCCCTTGCTGGCAGAGTTTTAATACAGTACAGAGCATCACACAGTTAGAGACAGGAGTGTGTGTGCATGCATGCATTTTCATGCGTGTGTGTGTGTGTGTGTGTGTGTGTGTGTGTGTGTGTGTTCCTCCTCCCTCTTGTAAGCCATCAGGCTTCAATCACAGGGTCTCTATCCTAATGACTATCTAATCCCATTCTCCTTCCAAAAGACTCATCTCCAGACAACACAATCAGATTAAGTTTCCACTCCTCCTAATCCCTCAAAATGGGGATTAAATTTGACCCAGGAAGTCTCAGGGGACAATTAAATCACACCCAAACCATAGCAGTCCACATGCTCTGAGCTCTCAAATTCACAGTACAGTTGCTGTTGGTGCCCGCTTCTTCTCCTTATGATGTCTGCAGGAGGTGGAGTGATTGTCCCAGTCTCATTCATGATGTTAATAATCTGGGTCTTTTTTATACTTTTAGTCAGTTTTTCTAGATGTTTGTCAATCTTCATCTTTTCAAAGAATCAGCTTTCTGTTCTGCTGATTTTCCTCTATTAATTTTTGTGTTTTAAATTTCACCAATTTTTGCTCTGATATTTATTATTGGTTTCCTTCTTTCTTGGATTTTACTTTGCTCTTCTAATTTCTTGAGGCAGGAGCTTAGATTGCTGATCTGAGACATTTCTTCTCTTACAGTATATTCAGTGCTATGAATTTATCTCTTAGAACCCTTCTAATTTCAACCCAACAATTGGCTTGTATTTTCATTTTAGTTTAGTTATATGTAATTTATTTCCCTAAGATGTCCTCTTTGACCAAGGGAGTACTTAGAATATTTTTAATAATGCAAATATTTGGAGAATTTCCCATTATGTTCCTGTTACTGATTTGCAGTTTGATTCTATTGTGTGCAGTGAGCACATTCTGTATAATTTCAATTCATATTGAGGTTTGTCAGAATATGATCTGTCTTGGATAATGGTCCATAAGTCCTTCAAAAAATGTGTATTCTTCGATTCAACTGGCTGGAGTTTTCAATATATGTCAATCCAATTGGCTCATGGTTTTGGTGGGCTTTTATTAACCTTGCTTTTTTGGGGGGACCTAGTCAGTCTGTTAACTATTGAGAGAGGTGTTGAAATGTACAACTATGATTATAGATTTGTCTGTTTTTAGTTATATTAGCTTTTGTTTGACATATTTCAGTTGAGGGTTTTGGATGCACACATTTAGCATTGTTATGCCTCCTAGGTGGATTGATCTTTTTATCATGTGATATTTCTGTCTTGGGAGATTTTCTTTGCTTTGAAATTACTCTATCTGATTTCAGTAGAGACATTGCTCCTTTGTTTTTATTAGTGTTTTTCTCTTTTAATTTGAAGCTGTATCAATATATTTGAAATAAGATTACTATAGCTAGCATACAGTTGGGTCATTTTCTCCCCTCTGTCAATCCCTGTCTCACACATTGTATATCTGGGTCATTTATAGTTAATATAATTATCAACATATTAGCACTGACATTTAAATTTGTTTGTTTGCTATTAGTTTTCTCTGTCTTGTTTTTTCTCATTCTTTTTCTTTCCTATGGATTACATAAACATTTTTAGAATTCTATTTTGATTTATTTCTAGTATTTTAAGTCTATCTCTTTCAGAATATTTTATTTGTTGCTCTACAATTGTTATTATAAGCATATAACTGATCCCAGTCTATTTTTCATTTTATCAGTTCAAATGAATAGAAAGCTTCCATCATTTTTCATTTCTTCTTTCCATTATTCATAAAGTAATTATCTGAAACATTTTTGTACATTGTGAACACCTTAAAGAGTGTCATAACTTTTGTTTAATCATCCCATATAATTTAGAAAGCTCATAGAAGGACAGTACTTTTACTAATGTTTCTGATCCTTCTGCTATTCTTTCTTCTTTTCTGATCGTTCAAGATAATTTTCTGGTATCATTTCGCTCCCATCTAGTGAACTTCCTTTAGCATTTTTTCATAATCTAGGTATACATTTTTCTACTTTCCCTTCATTGAGATCATCTTTATTCTTATTCATTTCTCAAGGATATTTTTGCTGGATATAGGTGACAATTATTTTCTTTCAATACTTGAAAAATGTATCAGTTTTAAACTTTTAAGTGATTCTTTATATTCTCCTTCTGCCTCTCTGTTTTTCTGAGACAGCATCTTACTCTGTCACCTAGGCTGGCCTCAAACTCCTGGGGATCCTTGTGCCTCAGCCTCCTAAGTGCTGGGATTACAGGCGTGCACCGTCACGCCCAGCCCTACTTGATGGCTCCTTATATCTTCTCTTTCTTTGCTGAAATGTCTAATTTCTTCATTTTTCTCAAGGGTGTTCCTAATTGTTTGGTGAAACATTTTGGTGATGGCTGCTTTACTCTGACAGCTGTTACATCAGTGCTATCCATTGTCTCTTCTTATTTGGTTTGAGACTTTCCTAGCTCTTGGTGTGATGAGTGATTTTCCATTGAAACCTGGACTTTTAGGATCTAATGTCATGGAATTCCACTTGTCTTTCACGTGTCCTCCTATGACACTGTTCCAAATGGAGAGGGGAGGTCACTGCCTTGTTACTCCTAGGTGGGGATGGAAGTTCTCTACTTGACTCTACTGTCACCTGGTATGGAGATGTTCTTTATCGTGGCTGGGTGGGATGGACTTCCAGACTCCCTGACATACCTCAGCAGTATTGCTCTTGATGGGACCAGAGAGGCCCTCGTTACTGCTCCCCAGTGACCTCTACTGATCCTGGGGCAGAGGGGAAGGTGGCGATCTTGCTAGCAATGGTGGTGGCAAAAGTTCTGAATCCATTAGGATGTGGTTGATGCCATCAACTCTTGTCCTGGGAAGACTGAGTTATCCCTCATACCTCTGGGTGGTGGTGCAAGTCAGACCTATGTGACTCCACACCATTTCTGTCTTCATTTGGCCTTACCTGAAACCACCCTAGTACAGCAAGGAGCAAGGAACAGGGAGGTATTGGGTGTCTTTCTCAGCCTTTGCTGGCCAGGGTGGGTATCCACTGTTTTCTCCATAATGTTTGGTTGGAGTAGAGCAGCTATGATTCAAAACTGTCCTGTCCTGTCTGTGACAAGCTTTTCTTGGGGATGCCTTTGACCATGCCTATTGGTGGTTCAAGTTAGAGGCTACTCCAGTACCAGTGTGGGCCCTGTGAGTGGAAAACCCCCCAGAGAACCCACTGCCATGTCCTTCCTCAGCTCCCAGGGTCCTTAGCCAGTCTGTATCCTCTCCCTCTATTTGGAAGTCTTCTTATTTCCTATAAACATCATAAGATTTTTGCTGTACTCAGTGGAATGAATAGGGGGAAAAGTATCCCCACTCTACTGTTCTGGAACCAAAATCTCTTTTATATCTTTTCTGGCTCTTTGTCTAGGAAAAATAAGTTTTTCTTGGGGAATTCTTGGTCCCCTTGACATAGACTCCTTTCCCCACTCCAATACTTCCCCACATCTACTTATCTTTATGGATTGAACAGTGTTTTCATAATCCTTTCCTCCCTCTATATTTATTCACACACACTTGTACATATGGAAACATGATTTTGCTTTCTATAGCCAAATGTATAAATGCTGTTCTGCTACTTACTATATCTATTTAATACGGCTCAAGAATCTTCATGTCCTTACTCAGGGATTGTCATAATTTGTTTTACCTGCTGCTAAAAAATGAATTGTGTTTCATACTATAAAAGAATGCAATTTGCTTAACTAGTATATTCCTGGAGGAATTTAGGGTATGTGCAAGATATTGCTCTTAGAAACAATGGTGCTATTAATATTGCTATTCTTGCTTGTTTGATCACATGTGAGGTTACTCTTTACAATAGATGCCTAGAAAAGGACCTAACTAGGTCAATGAGTACCCATATTTTAATTTTTACTAACACTTTCACTCATTGCTCTCGAAGCCCAGTGCACACCTCTGGGTGCAGTTAGTAGGATTCCTGTTCTACATACTCCAGGGCTTGATATTATGAATATCTTCAGTCATCAAAAGCCCATGTGTGAAGCTTCTTATTTTTGTCTCAGTTTATGTGATTGATGACTAGTGGGTTGGAGCATCTTTTTAAATAATTGTGGCCCTTTGTGTTTCTTCTGTAATTTTCTTATTTGAATACCTTCCCCATTTTCTGCTCCCTGAGAGGTTATTTTGCTAGGTCTACCACCTGGCACCATCTCCCTTAATGTCCTGCTTCCAACTAGGCAACAGCTAGGGCTTAGGAAAGAGCAGGCGATGACTAACCCAAGGACAATGACTGCAAAATGTCAGGGATCGAAAGAAGGTTCTGGACTTGTTACTCTGTTCCTGAGAGGCACAGCCTGTCCATGGCTGCCTCCCCAGTGTAAGCATCACCAGTAGCTAAAATTCTGCACTGGAGGCTGGCAAAAACTCAGGGAGGCTGCCCCTACCCTCACTTGTACCAGCTGATTATAATTATCATGCTCCATGCGCCAGGAATGTCGCCTTCTGGGAAGGGTGGTCCTTGAGCAGGCTGCTGTGCCACTGAGGCAGACCTTGGTGGTGCTGCACCTTCCCTGCAACTGTGGCATCCAGTCCTCTCTCACCGGGGTCTCAGTCCCCCTGGGACTCAGCTGGCAAGCCAGTAGCACCCCTACCACGAGCCCAGCCTCTGGTCACATGCAGCTTGCAGGGCAGGTGGCATTGCATCTTCGCCTCCCCCGAAGCCTCTGGCACATGGGGACTGCACCATAGGGGATACTGTGAGCAGAAGCTAGAAGAAAAGGGGGACTCTGGACCTCCCCAGTGGCTGGTTTGACTTCCATCCAGTTTCCCTCATCTCTCATCTCCCTGGCAAGCCCAATTCTTCAATTCTCCAGCACTCAACATCCTTGAAAAGTATCCTTTAAGACACAGAGAGACGAGGACTATCCTGTGCACGCCCTGGGGCTCCACCTGGTGACTTAGAATCCTCTTGGTCCCCTGCTGAGGACTCACCAAGAAGCCCAAGGTGGCTGCAGAATCCCACAGAACTGTGCATTTTCAAAATGCTTCACAAATGTGACTTTTTTTTATTAAAATATTTGAGTCTGGATCAAATTCAACCCCATAATGTAGTGATTTGCTTAATGACTGCAGAATATTGTCTTATCTGAGGAGAAGCAGGACATTTTAAGACCACAGAGCCCAGAATTAACAGCTTGGAATTTTCACCATGCTGGCTGTTAATTGACTTAAGCCATTAAAGGGAGAGAATTTTTGGCAAATCCTGAGGTCCTCATACAAGCAAAGCCATGCATGTGCTCAAATCATTTTGAAATAAGCGTCTGGTGCGCCAACTATTTTAGAGAACTAGGCTATTTAATCAGGAGGCTTGCAAAAGCGTGTGAGGCTCCTAAACAAAGTATCTGAGAACAGTGCCCCTCCACGGCCACACCAAACCTCGGAAGGCGAAGCGTGGATCCAACAGGAGCTGAGACCACGCTTGTGTGAGGATTTTCTTGGGAAGTACCCTAGGACCTTGATAGGGAACTCAAAACCAGCTCTAGCTCTACTGTTTTCTTGGCACTGTGGGTGTCCCCTGCCATGTCCCCATAGCATGCACCAGGGTGACTAGGAGGGTCACATGATTGAAGCCAAGTGTCCTCCAGGGTTCTCTTTCCTACAGGATGTATGTGCTTGAAGTGAGGACCCTGGATATGCTGAGGACGCAGGGACAACCATTGCCTCTCTTCTGGGGTGAGAGGAAGAGGCCACGGTGCAGAAGGAGCATGCGCAGGCAGGGGCACCTGCTCTGTTAGCATTCCCCTGAGTCACCCCAAATATTCTTTCTGCACGGCACAGTGATGCTGACCCACAGAGGCTGGGCACATGTGTGACTGGGGTCCTTTAAGAATAGCTCATGATTTTCATGGCGTTTTTTTTTACCCTGGAGATACTTCATGTGCGGCTGTCTGTGTATGGTTATACCCACAGCACACTGGGAGCAAGTTCCCTGCCTGGGCAGGTCAGGTCTTCTCTTTAGAGCTCGACACTCAGCTGAGAGGAGGCTGCTGTGTGGCTCTTCTCCTGGGCCCAGGGACAGGGACGTGGCTGCTGCTCTAAGGGCGAACACCCACTTCCAGCTGCTGTCTGTGGCTCAAAGGTGGGCCCCATGGAGGGCAGGTGCCCAGGCAGTGCCCACAGCCCAGGCCTGGGGTGGGGGCTGCTTCAGGTTCATGAAGCAGGTTCTCCAACTACAGATGATCAGAGAAGCCTGGATCAAGTTCAGCAGAAGGAGATCCTGGAGGAGAGTCCAGAAGCTGGACAAGTGGACAGGAAGCAGCATGGGACCAGCAAGGAGACGAGCGCCAGGGGACTTCAGAGTAAAGAAAGCTCAGGAAGCCCCTGGTTGTTCTTCCTTCACACTCTAGCCCAGGGCAACACTGGCTCTGTCAGCCCAGCTGGATATGTGCGGCACAGTGATGCTACCCAGAGAGGTTGAACACCTGCTTGGCTGGGAGCAGCTGTTGCCTGCTGGCCTGCCTGTAAGCATGGCCATCTCACCCAGTGTCACCAGCAGAAGTGACACCCCAAGGCAGTGAGGGTGCATTGGGTGGGAAGAGCTGGAGCTTCTGCGTACAACTGAGGTCCCTCCCTGCCTGGAGTTTGTCCCTGGGTCCTGCTGGCTCAGAGGGGCTTTGCTAAGTGCTGGCAGTGTCTACTGGATCAAGCCTTAGATGTGCCAGGTCCTCAGCCTCCTCCTGGGGACCAGGCTCTCTGGGAGGGAGAGGATGACCTGGGGTCCCATCTCTTTTCAAAGGGAACTTGACCTCTTGGAGATGTGGGTCCCCCAGGCTTGGCCCAAGGAAGGTGACCACAGGACCTAGCATGACCCAAGGCTCCTCCCAGCTGGGGAGGAGCAGGTGGCTTCTGCCCCTCACATCCTCAGACAGTGCAGAGCCCACAACTACACACCAAAGTCATTTCCTGCCCAATGTGGCTCTCTTATCTCATCAAGACATAGGGATTTACTCCCTAAGCAATGGCTGCATCTCAAAGTGTCTTCTGCTACCTTTTTGATAATAATAAGGATGATTATTATGATGGCACAGTTTTGCCCAGAACACATGCCAGGTCAGCTCAGGCTTTTCCTCTCTCTTACCACACAGGATGATGAGGGCAAGTAGAGTCTTCTGAGTCCCAGGCACATCTGGGGGGACAGTGGCAGCTCTGAGCTATGCCGAGCAGCATGTGCTGTCTGCGGAGCTAACTGCCTGGGGATTCAAGGAAATCTCAGGTGAAATCAGAGGCCCCTTGGGAGGCGGTACAACCAGGTTCTGGAGCCCCCACCTGTGCCTTGCTGCTCTCTCCCTGGAGTGTTTCCTCATCTATAAAACAGGATGCCTGACTCTAGCTATCTCTCAGGGTCCTGGTGGGAAATCAGTGGATTAACAAGTGAGACAAACCCTGGCACAAAGAATTATTCAGTAAGTGTCATCTACCCTGTGTGTGATAGCTGAAATTTCAGAACTGTTGGAGATGGTAGGAAATGTGCAGATTTTAATTCCAGGTTATGGGTCGGGGGAGGTTGGGATAGAAACAGACAATGGCAGGGAAAAAGAGAGAAAAATGACACAATCTTGACTGGGCAAATCTGTGGCTGAGGCTGCTTCTAGAGCAAAGGGGCAAAGTTGGTAAGGTGGGAACCCAGGACTCTCCCTTCTCTGCTCCCTCCTCTTCCCTGCAGCTGGCAACAGCTGCCTTTTCTGAACCTGGCTTCCATGCCTGTCACCTGGCAACCTTTCACAGCAAGTCAGATGCCTGGGTCCAATCCCCAGTGGGTCTGACTCAGTTGATCTGAGGGCGTCCTGGGCTTTGCGATCTTTAACCTCTCTTGGGTGGGAGGTGACAGATGGGAAGATGAAGCCAAGCCCTCTCCTGGTGACAGTGGCTCCTGCAAGCACAGGGTTGGCAGATGCTTTTGAAAATTCCACTTCTGCAGGAAGGAGATTGCCGGGTTCCTGCCCCCACCTCAGCACACTCCCCAAGTTGGTGGAGGCCCCTGGGTGGGGTCAGCTGGCTCACTTGTGCTCCACCTTCCACCTGTTCAAGGCCAAGGGTGATCACGGACAATTCTTCCCCTTCCTGGCACTCAAGAAGCCCTGGTGGTGGGGCTGGCTGGCTCTGGGGACAGCTGCCACATGGCCAGGGTGCTCACTCGGGGCTTCCCTCTGACTTAGCTCAACTGCGTGGACTCTCTCTGCGTGCCTCGCAGAAGGAGCGGGTTCCTGAAAAGGCACAGGTAGGGGTGTGTGTGTGTGTCTCAGTGGATCCTATTTACAGCCTTACAATTCAGGAATGCTCCTAAGGACTCTGGGGTTATTCCTTCAATACTTGAAGAAAATCACAAGCGCTTAAGGAACAAAATAATATTTTTATTAAAAATTGTACCCATAGCACCTCTCTGCCTTCCTACAAGTTGTTGGATTGTGTTTTTTTCCCTTTCTTTTAAAATGAGATCTGGTTTTCTGCAGAATTTCAGACAATATTAAAGGGGAGCCTGAGCTCTCTCTGCATGGGAAGGTGGCCCTGGGTGCGGATGAGCACCCTGGTGCATTTCCGCGCTGTTCTCGCCTCTGCCTGGGCTCTTGTAGGTTCTGAGAGCCGAAGGTGTCCATGCCAGGTGTGCAGACAGCTGTTCATCGGAGACAGCTGCACTGTGTGCCCAAAATGTGTAACAAGAAAAACCGTGTTCTACACCATGATGCACCTCCAGCCCGTGCTTGAGGCCAGGTGAGCTCGAGCACGGGCACAGCCTCCAAGGGTGTTTACGATGACGAGCGCCTTCCATGCAGTAGCAAGTGCACTCTGCGTGGTGGCTGGGACCCGACGTGTTTTCTCCCAGGGCTGGTGAGGCTGCCACTCTCCATCTTGTCTTCTTCCTCTGGGGCAGGGAAGACAAGCAGGGAGGGGAGAGATGCAGAGGGGCAGGCGAGCAGATGGGGCAGCCCGGACGGCTGCACAAAGAGGAGCCCTCCCTGGACACCTTTGCTCACCCACTATCCCACGGCTCCACCGTGTGCATTGGGAAGGGCAGCTCACTGTGCAGGGCAAGCCTAACCCCTGATGCGGCTGCCATGGGGACGACTGCTGGTCCTGAAGCTCCTGCAGCGCTGGCTTTCAGCTCCATGGAGAGAGAGCGGGAGCACCCTCTGCTCACCTTGGTTATAGAACTGTTGCTTGGCCTGCGATCAGCAGGGAGTCTTCGATCCAGTGTCCACGTCCCTATTCTCCCCAGAGATGGGAGGTGAACATGCCTCAGTGTCCACCCTGCTCTGAGGGCAGAAATCTAATGGGAGGCCCTGGCCCCGCTCCTTAGATGCAGGTGACTCATTCGGGGCAGAGTTCCTCAGCGTGACGGGCTGGACCACAGTCTGTGACAACGGTGTGTCAGCAGCCACGGGGCCAGGGCAGCCTCGAAGGACCACTGCATATGAAAAAAGCTTACCAAGAGCATAGGGCGTATGAGTCTAAAAAAAAGTGCCACATCCTTGTCATGAGAAACCAAGAGCAAAGTCACACATTGGACCAAGGCGTCCTCAGCGCTGTCCTCGTTCATTAAAGCAATTTCCTTATGGCTTAAGAACAAAGTGCACGGCAGTGGCCTAGTCCTCTGCGGAGTGTTCTCTTTCTGGAAGTTCACGTGGCCGCGCTGTGGTCTCCTGTCCACCCCCCTCTTTGGGGTGACAGGGAGGAGGCAGCTCTGTCCACTGAGGCCGTCCCCCCACCCCCGGATTGTGGATGGAAATTCTCACACAAGTGGCTTTGGGCAGAGCGTCTAGGATTTTTGGTTTAGAACATCTCCCCTTCCATTCAGAAAGAGAAGGGGGAGAGAGGAAGGAAGGGAGAGAGGGCTCCTTTCACACCTGTTTTGGGGAAGTGGAAAAGGGTTTTCACCCCGCACCCACCTCTCCGTGGTCTCCTAGGGCCACACCCGGGAATTCTGAACGCAGAGAATGAAACACGATCCGCCCCCTGGCCTATGTGCGGCCATGGAACTGGCTTCCCGGTGGCACCGGCCAGGCGATGGCCCAGCAAGTCTCTACCCTCTGGGCACTGAGGCTCCCGGGAGGACGATGCCTGCCTCATCCTGCTGTGCTTTGGATATTGACAGAGGGTCTCCAGTGTTGTGTGTCACCCGGAAGTGGGAATGGGGGGTGCTCGTGAGTACCGGGCCACACGTGCTGCCTGGTGCCAGCGGCGCTCTGGTCATATCCAGCCAGATCTGGGCCCCGGCTGAGGAGCTGACCTCAGCCATCTGTCACAAAAGTAACTGGAAGGGCCAGAGGCACAGCTGGACTCTGAACTCTTAAGTGTTCCAAAGCAGTTCATACTAGTTTCATTTAGTTAAAAAAATTAAAACAGTGACAATTAAAGAAAAACTGTTCCCAGAAAACCTGTTAAGGCTACAAGCTGGCCTTGGATGGGGGTTGGGGCAGCAGCGCTGGCAGTCAGAAGCAGGGGCAGCCGGCAAGAGCAAGGGGACAAAAGGAAGGACTGTCCCCCCAGGTGCCCGGGCGGCCCAGGGTGCACGCGGTCACTGAGGGCCCGGGTCTCAGAGCGGTTTTGCTTTATTTGGAGACACGGTTGCTTCTCATCTTTCCCACGTACAAAGCTGAACAATTAATAAAAAGGCACCTGGAGACAGCAAAGATGCATTCATTTCATGTGACATAGTTTAAAAAAAGATAAAAAGATTTAAAAAATACTCTGGTTAACAATGCACACTTCCTACAGAACAAGCAACTCTGCAAACGCCGGCTCACTCTCTGTCAGCGGGGTGGGCCGTGTGCTATGTCACGGGAAGTTTACTGGGAGCGAGGTGGGGGTCCTGATCTTGCTCTGTCAACTTGAAAGAAAGAAGGGAAGAAAGGAAAGCCCTGAATATTTCACCACCAGAAGGACAGAGGCCAAGCTGAGCCCGGGCAGCGGGGAGGACACCACCTTCTAATCGCTCACCCCCCACCCCCACCCCCCCACTCCAAAAACCTTAAAGTTGATTCTTTGCCTAGAAACTGTGGAGTGAGAATATTTTGTAACCTGGCCGAGCTGGGTCACAAAGCTCTAACTGAGCCCAGGTCAAAGTGCCTGCTCGCTGCTCCCCAGCAGCAAGTGAGCCAGAGAGCCAGGATCCCGAGTTGTCCGAAGACAGAGTTGGTTCTCCGAAGAGGAGGTAGAGGTGGAGCAGGCCGGGGCTCCATTCTGAGGACCCCACCTCCTGTCCCTTGTCACCTCCGGCGGCTTGGAGGATGAGAAGCCACTGCACCAGGGGCAAACCTTCTCTTAAAAAGAAAAGAAAACAAAGAGCCCTGCTTTCTGCAGTGGTGTTACAAAAAGCCATTAAAAAAACCTTCCTAATTGAAATCTAGTGTTCACGAGTAGGTAAAATCGCGCTTATCAGAATTTTTTCTTTTTAAACAAAAACCTCAGCTCAGTTCCTGGAGTTGGTTGTCTTCACAAAAATAGACTCCGGAAGGTCCGCATCCGTCTTGCCCCAGTGTCGGCTCGGTGTCACACGAAGGAAGAGAAGCCCGTGAGAGGGGCGCGGGCGCCGGGGCCAGCTGGGGTGTAGACGCCACCTGCGCTCTGTGTGGTGATGACCGGGTGCGGGTGCTGACCCGCCTCGGCCCCTGCCACCGCCTCGTACCTGTGCAGCGCCGCGGCGGGGGGCCTTCGCTTCCAGGAGTTGTAGTAGGTGGGGTCGCTCATGTAGTGGTTGACAAAGGAGTGTTTGGGCAGCGCGTCCTCGTAGTCTGAGTCAGAGGCCTGCAGGAGAGCGACAGCGTGAGTCCCAGGGGGTAGGGACCGCCACGGGCTGAGTAGGAGGCAGGACAGACTTCAAGTCACCCAAGATGGGAGTGGTGAGCTTGTCACTGCTTCCTGCCTTCTGTTCCCTGCTCTAGAAGCCACAGGAGAGGTCTGCACAGCCCACAGGGTACTCTGCACTTTGGGAGCAGAACCCAGAGACACAGAAGGAGCAGGAAGGGCTGGGGGCTGCAGGAAACGGGAAACGGAGACACCGTTATGGGCCAGCGAGAAAGGGTTCTTTAGCTTCATAGAGGCGGGGAGGCCACCCCCGAGGAACAGCATCACATCCAGGGACCCTGGTGGGGAGGGCGCTGAGAAAGGAAGCTGGGGAAATTGCCCACGTCTCCACCCACCTCCCCGGCACAGGAGACCCCACCATCCTTCGGGTGCTGGCGGGGAAGCTGCACTGGGTATCCCAGAGGCCTCTGAGGATCCGTCCTGTTAGGGTTTCTACTCTTTTATAAAATAAGTCAGTAGCTGCCACCAAAAATATTTAATCCATATTTCCTATGCTTATTTCTTAGAGCAAAATTATTGTACAGTCCTTTGGGTTAAGCTGTTAGAGGAAGCTCTAAAGCAGAAGGTGGAGGGAGGGTCTCCTGACCCGGTGGGGGATCCTAATTTGCCCTCACTGGAGGCTCTGTGGGCTTCCCGAGCCCCCCAGGAGCCACCTGGCAGGCCTGGAGTGCGGCACTGCCTGCAGTGGACACGGAGGCACCGTAGACATCCACGCCCCAGTGCGCCTGGCTGCGGTGCCTGGCTGGCCTTTAAGTTCAAGGAAGGAGCGGGAAAGTGTGACCTGGCAGAGCTTCTCCTTCCAGACCCCTGCCAGGATGAGGGGGACCTTGTCTTAGGGACGCATGGTGTCCTGCTCCATTCCTTACGCTCCTGTCGTAGAGTCCCACAGGGCATGTCTCTTCCCTGTGCGCCACGGCCCCATCTCTCGAGGGCTCGGTCCCACCTGTCCCACCAGCAGACTTGGTGAGGGTGGGCTGCCCACCTGGTCTCAGAATCACAGTGGCTCAGAGGGCAGGTCCTGGTGTGGCCCAAAGGCTGGGATTACATCTGCTTGAGAAGCTCTCAGCTGGCGTGGTGATGCATGCCTGTAATCCCAGTATTTTGGGAAGCTGAGGCAGAAGGATTTTAAGTTTGGGCCCAGCCTGGTCAACTTAACAACTTAGTGAGATCCTTTCTCAAAAAAGAGAGTTGGGGATGTAGCTCAGTGTGAAGGCCTTGGGTTCAATTTCCAGTACTTACCTATACACACACACACACACACACACACACAGGCAAAGTTCTCAGTGGCCAGGAGCTGCTGGCCCACTGATGGTGTTGTGTGGATGTGGGGATGAGTGAGGAGGCTGTGATCCCAGCCACAGCACCTGAAACTCCCGGGAGGCTGTGGCTCTGCCCTGTGTATCCCAGGGGCTCCTGGGTGGATTCCTAGGGAGTAGTTTCAGGGAGTAGTTTCAGCTCCACTCTTAGGAGGAGAAACTCCCACCCCATGGTGTGGGACTCGCTTCCTCTCAGTGGGACTGGGGCTGAGGACTGGAAGCTGCTGCCTTTCCTGTTTCATACAGAGGACAGGAAGGGTCTTGGCTATTGGCAGCGCTGTTCCTGGTGGCTGCTGGCCTGACAGTCTCCCAGCCTGACAGGCCTGGGAGCCTGCTGTGAATCACCCTCCTCCATCCTGCGGGATGCACAGCGGAATGAGCCTCCTGCCCTGGGCGCTGTAGGAATCCACCCAGGAGCCCCTGGGATACACAGGGCAGAGCCACAGCCTCCTGGGAGATTCAGACATAGGCTAAAAATTGCACTCCAAGAGGAAGAGTCACCCGAAAGTGATGGCAAGTCACAATGGTGGGGCTTCTGGGGACACTGATATGGCCTGTTTGTGCGGTGGCAGTTGAGCACTGCCGTTCTTTTTCTGTGTTTTTCCTGTCAGAGGTCCATAACTGTGGGGCTGAAACTACTCCCTGGGTGCAGAGGTGCAGTCTCTCTCTGACTTAACCGTGGTGACACACATTTCAGAGGCTCTGTCTTATTGAACTCCCAGTATGCTCCAGCTTAACCCAGGAGCTCTGCGGCCACGTGATGGCGCTGTGATGCGGGGGTCATTCCTGTCCATGGAGGACAAAAGGAGGCTTGAGTCACTGCTGAGCCCAGAACCCCGGGAGCATAGGAGCTCACTGCAGTTCCAGGTCTCCGCTGAGTCAGCTGAAGCCAACAAAATTCTCTGACCCCAACCCATGACCCCAAACCCATGATGCTCTGAAACTCAAAAGCTTCTCTGGCCGATCTGTTGGTGGCAAAGTGGGACCTGCACAAAGCCAGTGGTTCCCCTGAGCTGAACCGTGAGCTGATTTGACGTGAACACTCTTGTGTTTGCTGCAGAAATACTCGAGTGTTTCATCATGACTGGCCCACTGCAGACATCACATGGCATGGATAGAGTCCCAGCCTGCGCTTCACTGAAATATGCTTGGCCTAGAGGCTTCCGCTGAGAGATCGGGAAGGAAGCTATTCCTCTGCCCCACGGACTGCGTGGCTCACCCCTCAGAGAGCAGCGACTGGTTCGTGGTAAGCATGTGACTTTTGCTGACCCAATCAGAGCCTCACCCAGGAGTCACCCCTGTGCATGTAAGAAGGCAGGGTTCTCAGAATAGGGACACAGCAGGGAAGTGGGTGGCCAAGTGGCTCCAAAAGCCAAACAGACAGGAAAGCCATCATGTAGAAAGAAGTTCAGATAGGAGATTGAGAGAGCCTTCTTTTTTGTTTCTCGCTTTTCATTTGGGCAAAACAAGTGAGAAGGTACCTAGGGTCAGGAGACTGGTGTCACCAGAGCCGGAGGTAAAAGTCAGGCCTCTGGCTCCTGCTCAGACCTTCCATCGGTTCCTGGTGAACGACTGTATTAAAGCGCCATCCCTCTGCCACCAGCTGTTTATTGTTAATATAACTTATTATTTTTTAATGGAGATGTATTTCAGTGAGTGCAAATTATTGACAAAAAGGAAATGCTACAGTTCTTTTCTGTTAAGTTTCCTGCATGATGTGATGTTGTGGTGTGTACTAGTTTCCCAGGAAACCACGGATGGAGGGAATATGATTAGATGCAGCCTCAGATTGTGAGTTCCCAAAGGTGCCCAGCTGCCAGGCCACGAGTTACGAGAGATCTTCTCAACATGTGGGGTCTACACTGGCAGATGAAAGACTTGAGCGTTGTTAGGGAGTTAATTAGGTATGGGGTGGGAGCGATGGTCTAAGTCAGTTGGAGCTGGAGGGATTCTGAAAAGCACTTCTTTGGATTTCAAAAGCAATTTTTAATATGCGATTTGAACAGCAGTCCTGCTAAAACTCATAGCAGCCATGAGAGGGAACAGTGACAGTCTCTTATTTCTAACTGGGGTGACCGTGTGAGCCACGGCCTTTGCCACGGGACACTGTGGTGTAAGGTCCAGCAGCTCTGATCCGGCTGGCTCCTGTGTGGTTGGATGGGATGCAGAATTTCCAACTTGGCAATATTTCTACAAACTATAAAAAAATACCCCAGGCAAAAAGCATGGCACCAGTACTTTCTCAGTGAGGATATGAGCCTTTCAGAAGCGCTCTTCCAGCAGAGACTACGAGGGGTGCTGACTCCTCATCCCCTGAGCTCTGGAGAAGAGCGCGAACAGGGAACCTCATCCCTCCTGTGGTCTGCACCTGCATGCACACTACATTAAGCCGCTAACTTGAGCCCGGGACAAAATACATCCACTACTCTATCCCCAGTTCCTGGCTTCTTGTGTTTTTATTCTTAGTTTTTTTGGGTACTAGGGATTGAACCCAGAGGTTCTGCATGGAGCTACATCCACAACTTTCTTCATTTTTTATTTTGAGACAAGGTCATGAAGTTACTAAGTTGCCTAGGCTGGAGTTGAAGTTGTGATCCTCTTGCCTCAGTCTCCCAGAGTGCTAAGACTACAAGGCTGTGCCAGTCTGGCCAGGCTGTGCTTAATTAAATCTTTATGCTGCCTCCTGCAGGGAGGATAAACATTTTAACCCCAAATCTCAGGCATGTGCTAGGCCTATTTTTAGATGAGGATATGGCTTTTGGGTTCATTCTACTTGACAAGCAACCCTCTGTCTGCTCCCTGTGGTGTCTGCTCCCTTCCCTAAGGGCTTTTCTCTAAGTTCTGTAAGTTGGCTCTGTTTCTGTCAGTGTAGAGTTAGGAAAATGAACATTAGAACTTAGCCCATATTTTTCCCAAGGCCCCTCTAAATTATCAATGACAAAGGCAAACAATACTTCCAGAATGGTGGCAAGAAGGGCTCAGAGGACCTTTTCCCCAGTAGAATGATGACTTTTAAGTAGAAAAATTATTTTATAAACAACCATGTAAAGTTTTTTAAAATGGTGCTAAGGGCAGATAGCAGATGGAGAAAGATTTATACAATATCTATTAAATCTGACTAAGAATAGCAGGAGCTAGCATTTGAGCCATGAGTATCTCCCCCTAAACCCCACTCAGTGCAGCAGAAACTACCTTGGGGGTTCGTGGCCAAGAAGACAGGGCTTTTAGTCCAACTGTCCCTGCATAGACAGCTCTCTGTTGAACGGGCTCTGTGCCAGGCCACTATAGCTGGGGGAACCGGGTTTCCCACTCCAGCCTTCTAGGGTAGGCATGAGGGTCTGCTCAGGCATGTCAGGCCAAGAGCACTGGCCCTGTGGCCCCTCCCTAGCTTGCCTGCAGGGAAAAAGCCCCTCATTGGGAATAGCAGCCAGGAAGGGGGATGACCATCTCAATCTAGTGCCCCCCTGTGTTACTGTGTGATGAAGAGAGTCACTGTTCCCAACTTCAGTTTTGGTGCAGCCACACAAGGGGCCAATGGAGGGAGAGACGGCCCATAAGAACAGAGACCTCACATCTCTGCACAAGGAGAGGACTTGCCTTGGAACACAGCATGCAAAAGGAAACTGTGCTTACAGAATTAAATGTGTGATGATAGGATTGCATCCAGTAGTGAATATCGGTGAATATTAAGAAGCTAGAGGTTCTTCCATAGTATCAAGCATAGCAATAAGCAGTGTAGAAGAGAGAGCCTGGGGAAGATATAGCAGAACCTAAGGGCCACTCAGGGACAGAGCCAGCTTCAAAGCTTGTTAGCATATGGGTACTTTAAAAGAGTTGGTCGTTACTGTACTTGGATCAGAGCATGGAAAAATTTATGCCTTAGTGTTATGGTTTAGATCTAAAATATCCTCCAAAGTCTCATGTGTTCAGAGGTAGGGCTTTGGGAAGGTGACTAGGTGAAGATGGCGTTATATTCATCAGAGGGTTCATCCACTGATGAGTTCATAGCTGAATGTGCTGTTAGGAGATGGATCACTCAGTGTGACCGAAAAAGGGTATATTCTTGTTTCTGGCTCTTCCCTCCTCCCTTCTCTGTTTCCCAACTGCCAGGGTTGAGCAGCTTTCCTCTATTACTTCCATCCACTGTGCCATTTCTGCCTTGCAGCCAGGTGATCATGGACTGAACCCTCTGAAACCATAAGCCAAATATACCCCTCCTCCTTTAAATTGTGAGTGTTGGGAATTTTGTCCCAGCAATGATAAAGTAACTAAGATACCCACAGAACTGCAAAATAGTGGAGCCAGATAACTGTGCGGGGCACTTTCTTAGGCATGGTACCATAGCGGTGGGTCCTCCACATCATTAATGGGAAAGTGAGAAAGGAAGTAAAGAGAGCCTGATTAAACACATGTCATCTCTAGTGGCCAGGGAGCATATGCATGGCCCTAGAATAGCCATCAAAGGGTACACACCGAGACAAAACAGTCCTCATTGAACATGTTCAGCCACAAAACTAAACAAAGAGAGATGCAATAAGAGTGGTCCACAAAGGGGGAAGACATCAGTATTCAGGGTTGCCATAAGATATTCTCCATAATGATATGTTTTCAAGAAAACCCAGGAGGGGGCTGGGGATTTAGCTCAGCGGCAAAGCGCATGCCTGGCAAGTGCAAGGTCATGAGTTTGGTTCCCAGTACCGGAGAAAAACCAAAAAAAAAAAAAAAAAAAGAAAACCCAGGAGGATATAATACAAACACAGGGAGAAGTGCAGGCAGCCTATGAGAGGCCTGAGTATCAGATTAGCCAGGCAAAGGCTTTACAAGCAACTGCTACAGTGCTGTCCAGAGAACAAAAAGAAACTGCACTTAAAGAACTAAATGCATGATGATAGGATTGCATCCAGTAGTGAATATCAGTGAAGAGTTAGAAACAATAAAAAAGCACTAACTGGGAACACTGGAGTTGAAAAATATAATAACTGAGATTAAAAATTCTCCATGGGGGCTTAACAATAGATTTGAGCTGTCAATGAAAGAATTTGTACTGGAAGATAGCTTAACAGAGACTATGTCATCTGAAAAAAAAAAAGGGAAAAAAGAATGAAAAAAATGAACAGAGTTAGTTACAAATGTGAGACAGCATCAAGAATATCACTGTGATGAAAGCACCAGAACAAGAAGAGAAAGAGAAAGAAGGAAGTTTCAAAGGAATATTGATTTAAAATTTCCTAAATTTGATAAGAGTGTTTATACATCCACTCAGCTCATTAAACTCCAAGCAAGACAAATGCAAAGGGCTCCACATTCAGGTCCATCACAATCAAATTTTTGAAAACCAAAGACAACAAGAAACTCTTGAAACCAATAGAAGGAAAAGAACTCACACATAAGGAAACACAAATAATATTAACTGACTGCTAGTCAGAAAATAAGGAGAAGGCAAACATAATATGTTTGAAGTTCTGCAAGAAAACTGCTGAGAATCTTATATCTTGCAAAGCTACTTTCAAAAATGAAGGTAAAATAAAGACATCAAACAGATGACAACTGAGAAAAATTCATCGCTAGCCAACATGTCACAAATACTGCAGGAAGACTGTCAGGTTGAAATTCTGACATTGGACAGTAATTCAAATACAGACAAAATTTTAAAAGCACAAATAAAGATAATTATATAGGTAATTATAAAAGTATAATTATACATTTCTTCTCCTTTCCTCTTCTTTCTGATTTAATAAGCACTCATGCATAAAATAATATGCATATAATTGTACTGTTGGGCTTATAACTTATAGACATGTAACATATGGAACAATACAGCACAAAGGAGGCTGTGGAATAAGGAAATGTCACCTACTGATGACTTGAAACCACACAAGGAAATGAAGGGGGGCAGAAATAGTGAATAAGGTTAAAATGATAAACTAAGTACATACTTGTTCTCCTTTCTTCTTTCAATTTCTTTAAGAGACATATACTCATATAAGGTAATAATTATGAACATGCATCCTTCAGTCTATAACATATATGGACATAATGTATAATAAAAGACAAGTTTCTGTATGCCATTGACATTTAGGATACATCTGGAGTAGATGCTGATGGATCAAGCTGTTAAAAATAACTGAAAAGTATAGTAAAAGCAAAAGTGAGGGAATTAAAGTGGTACACTAGAATATATCCATTTATCAAAGTAGTAATGAAAATAGGAAAATAAACATATGAGACATACAGAAGGCAGATATCAAAAGGACAGATGTAAATTCTACCTAAGCAATAATTACATTAAATGTGACTGGATTAAAAAAGCCAGTCAAAGGGCAGAGATGAGCAGAATAATTAAAAAAATATTATCCAACTGTATGGTGCCTAAAAAAGACACATTTGGATTTAAAGGTACACAAGGGTTGAGAATAAAAGGATGGAAATGACATAGCACATGGACAGTAACCATGAGAATTGGAGTAGTTACACCAATAGCAGACAAAGTGCTTAAAACAAAATTGTTACTGGAGACAAAGAGGTGTATGTTATAGGGATAAAAGAAATTTGAAGATACAAAAACATATAAGCACATATGCATCTTACTATAAAGCTCCAAAATACACGAAATTAAACCTAACAGAATTAAAGAGACAATACACAATTCAGTAATAAGAGTTGGAGACTTTAGTACATTGATAAATGGCAGAAGATAGAAAATACAGAAGATTTTTACACTGCAAATCACTTAGACTTAGAAGACCCTGGTCCTGAAAACCATAACATGCCTCTGTGGGAAGATAAAGGAGCTCTTTCTGCTCAATAAAGGCTTTCCCTTGGGTACAGGAAGCCTGGATCAAGGCCCTGTTTTTTTTACCACATGGCTGAGCCACAGCAACTCAGCTCTGAGGGGCAGGTCTGGTGGGAAAACTGGAACTTGGAGCTAGACGTTCAGCTGAGCTCATTAACATGTGCTTGGGAAAGCATTCAAAACCTCTTTTAGCCTTGATTTCTCCTCTGTTGTATAAGGACAGAGCCACCTCTTTGCAGAATTCCATGTAGTGTGGGTCCCATGTCTCTCTTTCCTCCTCTGCCTGCCCTTCTTCCTTTTTCTTCCCTCTCCTCTCACAAACTCACCCCCTCCCACATGTGTGTATGTGTGCTCGCATTTAGGTATGTACTAGTATGTGTATATGCGAGGCTGTGCATGAGTGCATGCATTTGCCCAGCTCAGTGCCCGAGTGCATTTAGTAATCTTCATAAAAATCATCTGTGATATGTATATACACCAATAACTCATGATGAATATATCCATTATGGATTGCAAACACAAACTAATGAAATTTTCAAAAAAATCAGCTGCATTTCAATTTTAATACACTCCATACATCTGAGTAGGAAAGTAGACCAAATGCTTCCCATTAGCCCATTTAAAAAATGCTTCTATAAACAAACAGTTCAGAATTTGTGAATCCAATTCTGGTTGCTCTGGGGCATACTAGCCACTGGCTAGCATGTGGCTGGAGAGCACAGTGGAAGATGAGACAGGATCAGCCAAGCTCTGGGGACCCAAGGACCTTCATGGCCACCAGTTCTGTTTCCTTTCTGCTGGGTGATGCAGCTCCTGAACACGGAGACACTCATCTGTTGGGTTGGTGTGTGCACTAGGTGTGAGAGGGTGAGCCGAAGCCTGGTCTGGTTGGTGCTCTGTCCCCCAAAGCAACACCTGCCTGGTGCACACAGAGCTAGTGCACAGTAGCCATCAATGTCACGCACTGTGCCTGTGGACTCCAGAGAGCAGCGGGCTAGGGGTCAGCTCAGACACCACCAGCGCCCCGGAGGTACATCACTCTGAGCAGAGACAGAAGTCCCGCCTGAAGGCCACTGCACCGCTTCTGTAATGCTGCTTTTAGTACAAGCAGCTATGATAAGGTTGCTCTTTCCTTTTGAGCTACCTGGATTTCCACGTGCTCTTTTGGCCAAGCCAGGACAATGGTACTATGAATAACCAGCATCCTCTGAAAGCAGGACGCGCAGAGTGAGCCCAGTCGGCTTTGCCACTCCCACCTGCCTGCTCTCTCTGGAGCTCATATATAAACCACAGTTGAAAAGCAGCCGTGGTATTGAGCCTTGGGGCTCAATACGGCCTGAATTCAGGTCAAAATGAAGGTGAGACTTATTTTAGATTAAATATTGATTTAGAGCACTAGCCTGGGAGGTGGTGCAGGCTTGTGTATATGGCAAACAGCTTGGTGATTTTCATCCCTCCCAAGGTTTGGCGTATCTGAAACAAAACACTCTGGACTGTGGGGACAGCTTTTCTGCAGCTGTTTGGGCTCACAGTAAAAGCTCCTGAGATAGGACATTCTTTTGGGGTGCACTGAGGACCTCTCAGATCTCCCACGGCTCCCTAGTGCAGCACCAGATGCGCACTGTTGTGTAGGTGGCGGGAAAGACTAAGACCAGGCCTGAGATGGACAGGCCCTGGGACATGGCAGGGTGACACTCCCAGAGAGCTGCTGTGTCCCTGGGCCACTGCTCCGCTAGGTGAAGGACGTGTCACCACCCTGTTGCTGATCTGGAACTGCTGTGTGTAAAACACTTCTTCCACAAAAGGAGGCCAGAGCAGGAGGCTCCTGGGTGGGATGAGAAGGCGAGGGCCAGGGCAAGTAGGCCCCCGAGCTGGGGGTGGGCTCTACCCCGTCTCAGGGCTGTGGGCTCAGGCCCCTGCTGCTCCAGCCCCCATTCAGGAACCATCGAGATGTGTGGCAGGGCAGCCTCTGGGAAACGCCAGGTGCTTCTCTGATAGCAGACAGAAGGGGCCCGGGCTGTCAGCCAGATGTGCCTCAGGGTGGCTACGGCCTTGCTAGCCCCCAGCCCTGCCCTCGTAGGGTGGCTGGAGAGCCTGTGGACGATCTCAGAGACTCAGTTAGCTAGTAGGGCAACATCAGAGTCTGCTCTGCAGAGTGCCCCTTGCTGGTGGAAAGCACCTGCCTTACCCTGCCCTTCTCTAGCCCCCGGGGGGTTCCAGCAGCGGAACCCCATGAACTGGCTTGGTGCCTCTGTTCTCCCCAGCCCATGTGGGAAGCACTGTTGCACCCAAAATGGACTGTGGGTCTGAGTCCAGCTCTTCTACTTTCCTCATCTGGAAAGCGGGGACTTTGTCAGCAGCTTTGCCTACTCCTTGGGTGGCTATGGGATCAGATAAGGCAGGATGTCTTGCCGAAGGCTCATTACGAAGGTGGGGGTCGCAGGCACACACTGACCTCGGATTCCGACGCGCCCACTGACTTCTCCTTGAGGCTCATACTCTCAGTCAGCACAGCACCATTGTATTTGTTGCAGATGTCCTCGTCAGAGTAGCGCAGACCACCGGGGCTGGGCCGGGGTGGAGACCTAGGATAAGGATGGATGGCATAGGTCACCCCTGCCATTTGGCCTGGGTCCAGACAGAATGGGAAGAAGGCCATGTCCTTGTCACCACTTTTGACAACCGGTGCAAGGCTTTCTGAGCACTGGCCACGTGGGGACTGGATAGCAGCCCCCGCAGATCAGAGCCTGTCAGCCACAGGGACGGACGGGGCTGAGGACAGGGTCATGATAAATGGTCTGGTCTTGCCGAGCTGAGGGGTGTGGCTCAGACTCCACCGCAGGAGGGCATCAGGGAAGTGTGCACAGCCCAGTTTCCTGCTCCAGTAGGGACCTAGGACTCAGGGCTGGGGCCAGGGAGACAAGGAGGCTGCTGAAGCTTCAGGCTTTTGTTGGCCAGTATTCCCAGATGTCCCCAGCACTGCCCCCTGTGTAACCTGGCCCCTTGAGTGTGGGCTGGGCTATGACATGCTCCCAACTGCTGGAATACAGGGAAGTGTGGGGCCTCACAGCCTTGACTGGGGCTCGCTAAATAGAAAGGGTAGAGCTGTCATTCCCCAGCCCTCCACGATTACATGACATTTATGAGAGCCTGTGTCAGCCAACTGGAGACAGAGACGCTCCGACTGGACTCACAGGGGCGGGCAGCCTTTTGAATGGCCTGTGGAGAGGTCCCCGGCAGGGGACTGTGAGTGGCCTCCAGCTGATGGCACGAAGAAGCTGGGGCTGTCAGTCACCGCGCCGCAAGGAAACCTGGAGAGCATGGAGAGAACGCTTGCCTGGGTGCAGGGAGTCTCTGGTGAGAAGATGGCCTTGGCAACTCCAGCTGTCCACCAGGGGGAGCTGCAGGGGCCCATACCCCTGCTCAGGACACCACAAGGGAGTAACTGTAGGTCAGCGTTAGCTGCTGCTCGTGGGGTCACTCATCACACAAGCAATAGAAAACAGAAGTCCTGGGGATGATCGCCTTCCAGCTGACTGAAGGCCCAGCTACTCTTCTCCAGGTGGATAAATGACAGCTTAGGAGGAAACCTGAGCATAGACCCGATTAATCTTTAAATGGGGCAGGGCGGAGCACCTCTTATTCCCCGGGGCAGGTGGTGCTGCCGGTGTCCTTAAGGGGGCTGTGATTACATCCAGGACCTTCATGCTGTGAGGGCTGAGAAGAGAGCTGGGCGGTGGCTGCTGATGGGGTGGCCTTTCATATCCCCATGGAAAGTCACTCGGTGATCTGAGCTCAGAAGAGCCACTGGCCAAGATATCATCTCTGCCCTGCGCAAAGACTCTGGGAAGACGGGGGTCAGAAAGCCTGATCTTACACCACAGCCACTGCCTCCGTTGGGAGTAGCTATGTCTCGGTTTCTCCAGGAAAGACCCAGGAAAAGCCTGTAGGCCTCCTCCTCTACCTTAGAGATAGTTTATTTTGGGGAAGACTCCTTTTGTCATCTAACCATTTGGGTAAACTTTTTTAGCTGAGAAGCTAAGATGGTGTCTTCCACAGAGAAGTTGGCACCTCAGCATAAACAAAGGTGGAACCAACCATGCCACATTCTAAAGGGACCTTGGATCCTGTGCTGGGGGACCCGATCCCTGCGACCTGCCCAGCCTGTGGGCTTCAGCCCTCTGTGGAGCCCCACAGGCATGCAGACCCCTCCCCAGCACAGGACTCCTCCTTCTGTCATACTCGGCGGGGCCTAGGACCTAAAAGGTGATGGTTTATGTAACAACTGTAGGAAGGGCCAATCTTCCTGTCCAGCTTGGTTTTGCTTCATTTGCGGCCCTACCAGGAAGTCCAGGACCTTCACTGAAACCAGTTGACCCTTATGAAGGAACCAAGCCCAGGGGGCCCCCTTTGCACAGGAATGGTGCCACTGTAGGCCGCTAAGCTGAGGACCTCTGGCTGTGTTAGGCCGTTGGGAAGCCACGTCCTATGTTCTGCCAGCTGGCTGAACAAGGCAGAAGGCCTCTGGACATGGGGCTGCATATGTGGAAGTGTGACCTTGGGGCTCAGAGACGGCCACTTACAAATGCTTGAGGGTGAGATGCCTGGTGGCTCATGGGTCCATGCCCACCACCACCCCAAGTCTGGTGGCCCCTATGTATACACACAGCACATGAAAGGAGCCACAGGACCTTGTAGATGGAGGAGCCGTGGAGTCTGTACTACCTATAAAGCCCCTGGGGCTACCTACACATAGTAACTTCAAGGCTACAGCTTCCTTTGCCCAGGCTCCAGCTTGGAAGGCTTCCTTACCCCTTCCTGTAGAGCTCATAACCACCACGACAGCACCCCTGGGCCACACAGACTCCCTGCCACTGACACAAGATGGCTATTTTCTCAACAGGGACCCCTCAGGGAACTCTAGGTGGGCGAAGACCCTCTAACTTCACCACGGAATGCCTTTGCTTTTTCTCTAGGAAGTGCATGAACTTAACCCACAGCTGTCTTCAGGCTATGTGCTTCAAAGCCACCAGCCGTTCTTCCCAGGAGCCACAGGAGACATTTGCAGCAAGGGAGTGAATGTGTAATATTTTAAAATTCTCTGTGACAAGTTCTTCTTGGTCTTGAAATTATGTGATTGCTTTTTCACATTTCTATGCTACAACAAGAAACACCTGCCTCTCGGTAGACAAATGGAATGAAAGATGTGACCAGATACTTCTTGCCCTAAGGAGAGTGATCTGGGTTGGCAGCCTGCTGTGCTTTGCTCAGCCACCTGGCGGTGCTGGCAGAGGGTCACTGCAGGCAGAAGCCCCACCAGGGCAGCCTGCCTCCTCCAGAGACAGAGGGGCCATCTATGTCACATAGGAAACCTCGGAATGCAGGAAATGCTGAAAATTACAGCGACCTCTTCTTCAAGGACATGATCAGGCCTGTGCCACTCTGGAGTGACAGCCACGCGAACCAGGAGTTCCCCAATCCCAGGTGCTTAGAGAGGTGACACAGAAGGCTAGCCTGGTGTCCCAGGTCTCAAGCCCCACACCTGAAGTCCTGCCCCCTTGTTACATCTCTGAGAGCACAATGGAAACATCTCTGGCTCCTCTGCAACCGCCTCTCCTACATCCCATGTCGCCTGGTGGGCTCAGAACCATGCCTGTCTGTGAGCTGCATTTGCTTTGTGGAACTGCAGTGGGATTCAGCGCGTCTACGGATGTGGGATATGTCCTCGGTTGGTACGCACCTCTGGCTGAGCAAGCAGGCAGTCACAGCTCCCCAGGTGGCCCCTCTGCGGCTCTCTCCCCTGGCCTCACCACAGTCTCCACCCAGTCCCAGGTCCGTACCTGGTCCCATTCTTCTTCAGAAAGGTGCTCTTGACATTGAGGTGGCGGCTGTTGAGCTCCAGGGCAGCAAATCCGCCGTTATCCAGGGTCACAGACTCCTCCATGTTGGAGATGCTCTTACCTAAATCCCGGTCAGGAAAGTGAGCCAGGTTTTACTAACGTGCCCACTGCAGCAACACTGAGCCAATCTACAAACACCCATAGCTCCGGGATTCCTGCTGGGGCACTGGTGTCCACCTTCGGCTTGCCTGGCTGCACTGCGTGAAAAGGAATTGTCTCGGTCCTCATACATAGTATAGTTATATTATACATAATAATATATAATAATGCATAACAATGTGAGGGACAAAACTTTTTCGCATTTCAAATTTATGAAATAACACAGCAAGCCCAGGTTTAGTAAGTAAGGACACTTACTTGTCTGCTTAACAACAATAAATACCTGTCTTCCTAGGGCACATGCCTGGAGGAAGGCTGAAAACATCTCTCACTGAGTGCTGTGTTTTACTATCAGGAAGGATCCACTCGAGTTCTGGCTGCACTGTGTGTGGCAGGTGTGGGAGGCAGAGTCGGCACGGCCCTGCATCTCCCCTGCACAGTGTCCCCTGTCACTATGCAGTCCACGTTAGAATATGGTGAAAAGTCACAGAATAGTGTTAAAAGCTGAGGATCCTGTGGACCACATTGCCAGCTGTCCAGTTTGGGCTGGGCTGGCGAGACAGAAACCCCACCACGGTGCGGGACCTGCTCTGGCTCAGGAGGCTCAGGAGCTGAGCCGGGGACAGAGCTGTGCACGGACCGCATCACTGGAGCGAAGTGATAATATTAGCATTTCAGCATTTGTTTTGCCTGATGCCAAAATGCCAGCATCCTTGCCAATATTTTATGAAAATGTGCTCAGAATGCATAGACTTATTAAAAGTCAGGGAAATTAAATATTTAACAAATTCCAAAATAAAAATGCTCACAATCATATAACAAAATAGGAAGTAAAAAGCAGGTTTATATGGGTGTGATAGCCAAAGAAAGGGCACGGGTGTGGTTTCCTTTTGAATAGGTGATAAAGAATCTCCCCGAAGGGACAGTGGTAGTTGCACATGTCTTCAAATTAACCACCAAATTGCACACTTTTAAAAATATTTACAAAAACATACCAAAACACATTCTAAAGCACATTAGCGGATGAAATGGAAAAAGCTATAAGAAACCAAAACCACGACAGCCTTCCTGATGTCTTCCCCGCTCCGATGGTGTGGGAGCCCAGCCGTCAGTTGTCCCTGAGCCAGGCCTGCTCCGTGCCTCTGCCCCTTCCTGGGTGTCATCTGTTCTCACTGTCCGTTCACACGAGCGGCTGCATGAGGAGCAGGCTCATTTCTCTGCCAGGTGCCCTTCCCAGGAACTCCTCTTAGTGCCATGTGTCACCTATGTGTCACCTTGTGACTGCCAGCAGGAAGGCCAACACCAGATGCGGCCCTTGAGCTTGGACCAGAAAGATGAGACAAAGCAAATCTGTTTCCTTTTTATGTTATGTACCCAGTCTGAGGTACAGTGTAATTAGCAACAGAAAAACAGACTGTGATGAGTGTTATAGGGCAGAGTGCTCCCTTCTGAGTCCCCAGACCACCTCCCTCTCCCCCTCCTCCCCTCCCACATTTCTCACTCGCCTCACTTGGCATAAATGTGTGCCCTTCACCTGGAGAATTTACACACACACACCCATGCTTGTTCTGCTCTGATTTCGACTTTCCCCTACTGTGTAAGATGCTCTCTGAGGTGTGCACTTTATCTGCTGTGGTCCCCACCACACTGCTGGCTGCTAGGATACACCGGTGTGTGGCGAGTTTGTGTTAACCCTGAGAGGCTCCTGCTCTGATGGGCAGTTAGAGGCTGCTTTTGCTAGCAAGCACTGATCTTTACTCAGGGCTGCAGATATCTGATGGGGAACTGAAAGCAGGACAACCCACGGCCTCTCTGTCTTCATGTTACATGCGGCTGCTTTGGCACCTTAAACTTTGGGTCAGATTCCTGCTCAACCGCACATAGACACATTAGTCCCTTATGAGTGTCTGTCTAAAAACTGGTTATACAAGGTTGGTTAATCCTAAGTTTTGTTTACTTAATTTCCTTCATCCCCCTTCAAGACTGAAAACATGAAAATAAAGGGAATTAAGATATTTTTAAGATTCCAGAAGAAATGAGCAGGCAGATCACCTCATGATGGATGGAACTGCTCCAAAGAGAGCTGAGGCTGCTCCCTAAGCAGGAGCAAACATCTTGTGTGGGAACCACAGTGCCCTCTCAAACAATAGTGACCTCCCTGCAGCCAGGAGGACCTCACAGGACCAGCCCTGAGGTTCCTATTAGGCAGGCCATAGTCTGACCCAGGCAGCCTGACTATCCATGTTTCTTGTCCCTGCATCTAGACTCCTGGAGCTTATGCAGGCAGGGCTCAGGACCCTACTGCCTGCTTCAGCATGCGGCCACATCGAATAGTAACTTCCTTTCTTCCTTGTCACCACTCATGTCTCTGGACTCTCAGGTGGCAGGTGCAGACCTGTTGGGACTGCTAGAGTCAGACCCTCTGGCCTAGAACTCCAGTAACACTCTGCTGGGGACCTGGCACGCTCCCATGTTCATCAATGCTTTTGTGTGCAGCAGAAAAGCCAACAGACCCAGCAGCAAAGGAGAGATGGACCTGCCTGCAGTGGAGGCTTGGGTATCGGAAGTGGGTAGGTGAGATCCAGAATCAAAAGGAATGGGGCCCAGGACAGCAGCTTAGGGAGCCCAAGCAGGAAGGGCAAGTGGGTGGTGCTGGTCTGCCAAAGGCTTCAGTTCCACACATCTCCAGGGCAGGAAGGGAAGTGCCGCCTTGAGACAAGCTCTAGCCCCCCAGGCTTCAATTATGATGTTAAACTAATACTCCAGGGTGAAGCCGGGTATCAGAAGCTTCAGGTCAGATCTGTCTTTTTAAGTCTGTTTTGCAGATGGAGGAGAGTAAAAGTAGGGAGATTTTCTATGCACCACACATAGGATTCTGTAATAGCATTAACTCAGTAAAATGACATGCCATTCATATATTGCAAATCCCACAAGAATAAAATCTGATTTACGAACACTTGTTAGAAGTGAATTTCTACAGAAAAAAAATAAATCCTTTCTTTGAGGGATGAATTGCTTAACGTTACCAAAGCAAATGGCAAGGCTTTTTGGGAGCCTGGGTTTATTAACCCTTTCAGCACAGGAGGCCTGGTCTTGCCCCTCACCCCAAGCCTAGGTGGCCCGCCTCTTTGCCTCTTCTTTAACAGCACTGTAGGAGGATCACCTTGCTAGAAAGGACAGACAGATGGGAATTCCTTAGTGACAGAACCGGGCTCAGGAAGACATCCAGTCCAGCTGGTGTGGTGGTATCAGATGGCTGTCTACATTCTTTTTTTTTTTTTTTTTTTTTTTTTTCAGTACTGGCATTGAACCTAGCTACCACTCCAGCTCCTTTTAATTTTGAGACAAGGGGTGACAAAGTTGCTCAGGCTGGACTCAAACGTGTGATCCTCCTGCCTCAGCCTCCTATCCATATTCTTTGGCTCAGCTACAGCTTTGGTGTCCGTTATGTGGATGAAAACAGGCTACAGGTGTACAGTTCAGTTATTTTCTGGTTATGCAAAGAAGTGGCCTGCTGTTACACAAATTTTTGTTAAAAATACAGAGGATAATAAAATGCATGCAGTGCACTGCTCCTAAGTGTTGAGCAAAGTGCTTTCTCACTGTAATCCCTGTGTGGAGTGTGGAGCATTGCCGGCCCCCTCTGGATGCCCTCTGCTCCTTCCCTGTCTGTGCTTCTCCATCAAGAGGCCACTGTGACCCTGCCCTGTAGGAACACTTGTTCATTTGGCTGCTTCTGATGTCCACACGAATGTGCTCTCCTGTGGTCGGCCTCACCCCACACCCGTTTGTTCATTTCTGTAACTGTGATGCATTCTGCAGAAAACATTCAGTGACTGAGCACATGCTCTATGCCAGGTGGGGAACCTGGGCTGGGAGCGGAGAAGCGACCTGGCCCTCCGAGAGTCTGAGCTGGCTTAGGGACAGAAGGTGAGGACCAAGATTAAGTCTGTGAGAGGGGCTGCTTTGCAGGAACACTTCTGTAACACCCCGTGTGCCACCCTGAAATAGCCCATGTGTGCCTAAACTCATTCATCATAGTGGATATACAGTAGTGTGCCCGCCTACCGCTTATCCTTTCTGGGTGTACCTAAAACACCAGTGCATTTGAACAGCAGTGCTCAGGAGAGAGCTGAGGCTGACTGCCTGAATGATGGGTGCTGTGACCAGGCATGTGGCTGAGCTGGGGGCAGCCAGGCAGGATCTGGGTCACCAGGCCAGAGCTCTGGTTTGGGTCTGCCTGCCATGTCCAGGAAGCAGAGCCACTGCACGTATGTCCTGTCCTTCAGGCCAATGGAAGGGAAAGGCACAGGCAGGAGGGGCAGGTACAGCAGAGACAGGGAGCTGGGTGCTGCAGGGATGTGGGGACCCGGGAATGGGGCTGGGTGGAGCTCGCACCTGCACCACAGCTTTTGTACTTCTTGTTCTGCCCATGCAGGACCAGGGCAAATACCACAAGCAGGATGATGATCAGGCTTGAGAGCGCCATCACCAGCAGGAACCACCACTCCTCATAGAACGGGGCTTCCACTTGGGCTGCAAAAGAGACACAAACTCACAGAAAGGCTACACAGGAGTTCCGGATGTGGCTGTCACCTGTGATCCAGGAGCTGAGAGGATTCGGGGGATGAGCTGAGTCACAGGGAAGACGAAACCAGCCCAGGCCACCGGGGGCCATGGACCCCTTTCCCACGGGAGCAGCTGAAGCTCTGTGACTTTGGCAGCAGGCTTTGGGAATTCTGCTATAGCCATTTTTCACCTTTTCTACAAAATAATCTCAGGGTCCTTCTACCCTGGAGACAGCTCTATCCTTGACTGTGCCCTGCTCCTGCCATCAGATCTCCCATCATGCTCCTCCACCTTCATATGCTTAAAAACCCTGTGTAGATTAAAGCCCTGCTCCCAGTCCCTGCAGGCCTCCCTTCTGGCTGGCCCTCATGCCTTCACTGCAACTGGCATTGCCTCTTGCCCGTGCCCCCGAACCTTGTTCTGATCTTTCTGCACCCTCCTTACTTGTTCACATCCATTCATTACACAGCTCCCAGGTAGGTCAAACTGTCCCCTCCTGCCATCCTCCAGGGTCACCACTGGCTTTGGGGTAAAGCCTGAGCTCTCAAGGCCCCCAGGACCTGCCTCTTGCTTCCTGCCCAGCTCTGCATCTCCTGGGACCTGTAGATAAGCCTCTCATGGTGAGCTCTTACCAGGTATGTTTGTCTGCCTACCTGTTGGCCTCCTCCAGCAAACCAGAGCCCCTGGAGGCTAAGGCTGTTTTATTTATATTGTGCCTCCAGAAAAACTGAGCTGAACTACCAGCCTCATCTTTAGATTTGTTTTTGAGAAGTGAATAGAAAAGGTTTCATTTAATAGATGTTTTTCAAAAGGAGACTCCTCTTCCTGAGGTTGTATTCTGTTTACTGAGTGGTTTCTCAGTGGGTGCTGGTTAGCCCTGGGGTCCTACTCTGCACCTCTAGAAGATTCCCTACAGGGGCCTGGTTTATGGCATCTGATGCCCCCAATGTAGAGCCTCTTACAGCCAAAGCCTGGAGTCTGCCCGCAGCTGCCGAAGTCCACAGAAAATACATCTACCTTGCATTAAGCGTATCATTGGCTGGATGAAGAGCAAGCGCACACGGGGAATAAAGGGGAAATTGGTTTTGGATAATGTTCCGCCACAGGGTTTCTTAGGAAATAACAGTACTTTGAATCTAAAAGATAGAGGCAGGTTTTCAGGCTGTGCATTCAATAGGCCAGGTAACAAGGCCAACAAGGCCCCAAGCACCCACAGAGGCCTGGCTCTGGCACTGGTGGGAAAGAAAGGCCTTGCTGGCTTTTGGGTCTTCACAACAGAGTGGGAACCCCATGCGCTACAGCCAGGGTGGTGACACAAGGCTAGCGGGTGACTGGCTGGCTCTGTGGAAGAAAGGGATAAGCGGGCAGCGGGCAGCTATGTCAGCATCTGCAAGCAGTGGGAGCTCAGAGAGGCATCCACGCAGGATGCACTGGAGAAGGGCGAGGGAGCCATGTGCCGTGTAAAGAAGCAGCATTTGTCACCAGCCATGTGTGGGCCTGAAGTGTGCAATTTCATTGTGTTGGTTTTTCATAGACGAACCAGATACCGAATTGCTGTGTGTTGGGGCTCTGTACTCTACTCTCTACACTTTGGGGCATGTTTAAGATGTTCATAATAAAATTAACTGAAGGAATATTTTCCCCCAAATCTTGCTTATTGAAAATTGGAGTGGACCCCTGGGCCCCTCTTTGCTGTCCTTTTCACTGAGGGATCCCAAACCTGATCCTAGATCTAGGTGCAGGCCAGGTCTCCAGCTCACCCACAGACCCCCTCCTTCCTCAGATCCCAGAAGACAGAGAAAGGCTATTTGCAATTTCAGCAATGGAGTTGGTAACTCAGCCAACCTACAAGTAGGCAACTGAAGCCAGGTGTGGAATCTCAGCACTTTGGGAGGTCCAGGTGGGAGGAAATTTTAGCCTAACCTGGGCAACATGGTGAGTTAGTGAGAACCTGTCTCAAAACAAACAAACAAACAAGGGATGAAACACGTTCTCGCCATAAGGAAGAGTAGTAGCCAGGCTGGCCTTCTTTTGGCTCAGCCTGTGATAGTTACTGGCTGGACTCTGCCCACCACCCCCAACTCTTCTTTGTCCCTGTTTGTCATCAGCAGGTGCCTTTTCTCCAATCCCTTCATCAGCCAAGCCCCACTAAGAGCCCTAAATCTAGGCTCACAACCTGTCTGCACACCAGGATCACCTGAGGGTTAAAAGGGAGAAGCCGGACCCCTGTCCAGGTAGCTGAAATCAGTGTGTGGATGGGAATCTGGCTTTGTCTTAACATTTGCATGACTCTGAGCTGCAGCCTGAGAAAAAGCACTTTGCCCCTCAGCCGCCTGGACCGGCCCCTACCTGACACCGCCGGGGAGGGCCTGCTGGGCTCCCCATATCCCGCCTCGTTGACAGCTACCACCCGGAACTCGTACGTCACTCCCTGCCGGAGCGTATCCAGGCTGATGGTGTAGGACGTGGCGCTCCGGGGAATGTCCTTCACAAACATGTCCCATAAGCCTTCATCTGTAAGAGGGACAGAGGGCGACACAGAGCAGAGGTGAGGAAGACCTTCTCCCAGGTACCAGCTCCAGGCCCTGGACACTGCACCTGCCTGGTCATCAATCCCAGGCTGCCCTGGACCAGGGTTGATGTAAGCGTCCCTGGCTGGTGAGGGTTGCACGGGGCAAAGGGAGAAAGACAAATTTCTTCATGGAGAACAGACCCCGCTGAAGGTGCAAGCTGGACAGCAGCATCTCCTTGGTCCTGTTCTCTGCCTGTTCCTGTGCCCCTGTGGTTTCTTACTCCATGTGTCTTTAGGGTTCCTGGCCCTCTTCCCGCTGGCTGCTGCTCTTACTGCCTGCGGTGTGCACACCATTACCAACTCCTCTGGACCCACGGGCAAGTCCGCCTGGCCTGGCCGCCCTTCTGGTCACCAAAGGTCCCTGTGCATCTGGGGCATCCCCTCTATACCTGATTAGAAACACCATGCCGCCAAAGAGTCAGGGTGGAGACTCTAAGCCCCAGCTTCCTTCCCAGGGCTGCCAGCCCCGCGTGGTACCAGGCCCATCTTCCACGCTGTGGGCAGAATGGCAGGGCAGTGTTGCCCAATCCACAGACATGGGCTGATTCTCCGTCACAGCAGAGCGCTGGACGGCAGGTGATAGGGAGAAGCCTGCATCATGGGATCCATACCTGCTCAGCGGCAACTGGGCCCAGGCCCCTTTCCCTCCCCTGGGGAATCGGCCCTGGCTTTCAATTTCACCCATTTCCCCTAAGGAAAAAAAAAAAAATCACAGCTTGCTGCTAGCGGTCCTTTCATTTTGCATAAACATACTTTTTGAGGTTGAAGCAAATCTGGTTTTCAATGTGAAAATACAAAAGCGTTTCTTGGAGTTGTTTCTAAACAGACCTTTTCTCTGATCTTAATGTAAAAGAAATGTACAGGGCAGTCAGCACTTAATAATTTTTTCACATGTGGTAAATTTCAAAGCATGGAATAACAAAAAGTGGACCATCATATTCCACACGAAAATATCACGTTTCTCCCTCGATCTTCTTATCATCCTTGTTCTCGTGAGAATGGCAAACTTTGCAGTGACCCGCTGGATTCAAAGATAACAGTAAACAAGAGAGATTTTGTGGTGAACTTTGGAAGTGAGGTTAGAACTGTAATCTGTGAGTTATCTTGGGGTAAACACTGTAGCCACGAGCTCTGCCAGTGAGTATTTTTCTGTGGCAAAGGGAAACGGGTTAAAGCCCAGCTCTAAAACCACGCTGCAGCAAGGCTGGGCAGCCTCTGAAGTGGCTGCAGCATCAAACCCAAGCTGAGAGCGCCCAGTTTCAACTTTACATTCAGACGTTACCAGATACAAGTATAAACTTTAAAAATATATACTGAATTTCCAACAGATATTGGTCTGCCAGTGTACATGGCAACGTGATTCATAACTGCCGAGAGGTGGAAACAGCCCGAGGGTCTGTGCACGGATGGGTAAACAGAGTATGGCGTAGGATGGAACATTACTCAGCCTTATGAAGGAAAGGCATTTCGAAGCAGGGCACCACAGAGATGAGCCTCAAGGACAGGAAGCTCAGGGAAATAAGCCCGCCACAGAAGGACAGACAGCCATGGCTTCTGCTTCTGAGAGGCCCTGGGAACAGCCACATTCATGAATAGGGTGCTCAGGGGATGTGAGTGTGTGATGAGGAGAGTTTCAATCTGAGAAGACAGAGAGCTCCGAGGATGGATGGCGACTATAGCTGCACACTGTGAATACACTCAGGCTACTCCATCGGCTGCTAAACTACTTAAAATGGCAAATTTTATGTTATGCATATTTTACCACAGTAAAAGATGCTGAATTTATTTAAACACCAACAAAAAATGTTAATAAAATTAAAATTAAAGCCAGAAAATCTGATGTAGAGAGGAAGGAAGGAGCAAATGGGTTTGGTTGGTTCCAAGTTCTCGCTGTGAAGTACAGGCTGGTCTTGAACTCACTATGTAGCCCAGGTTGGCCTCAATCTCACAACAATCCTCTTCCCTCAGCCTCCTAAGTGTTGGGGTTACAGGCGTGCGCCACCGCGCCTGGCTGAAAATTTGTTTTCAAAAGCAAAGACCCACACAGCACCATGACTGAAAGGATGAGTCTGGAACTGCACAGCCCTTGGTGTGAAGCCTGGCCCTGCCAATTAACTGTGTGACCTCAGGCACAGAACTCAACCTCTCTGTGCCTTGCCTGCAGAATGGTGATAACGAAGGGTTTATATCATAGGTTTGCTTGGAGGGTTAAACAAGTTACTATTCATAAAGTGCTTAGAATACTGCTTCACACATAGCAAGCAGTAAGTGAATGTTTGTAAAATAAAATATAAATTTATTCCCCAAGGAGGCTGTTTGCTAAAAGGTAGGCTCAAAGCCCAAAATGTTCATTTGAAGTAGCAATCCTTCACACATTGTAATTTCTTTTATAGGCATAGGTATGTGATACTTTAACAAGCAGGAGATCTGGAGAGGAAACGCCATTTGAATATGCATGTGCACGCACTGACAGCTTTATGGGGCCCTGAGGTGATCCGGGAACCTGCCCGTCACATGGGAGCACCAGACTTGCTCGGATGGATCAGCCCCATGGTAAACAGCAGGAAATTGCCAGTGTGTCAGGCTGTGTTTGCAGAGGATTTAGAGTTTGCCCGACCGAGTCCTCACAGTCACAGGTTAATGAAGGAGTAGATGTGAATGATTTTAAAGGTACACGTCTCTGCACAGGCCGAGGGGCAGAACAATGATGATCTACCTCTAAATATTCATACCATTACCAAGTCTCATCAAGATACTCATTACCAGTAATAATGTCAAAGTGGCAAGCCGCAGCCGAAGTGGGGTTTTCCCACTTAAAATACTGAGCTTTACATAAGGAGTGATACTGCATTTCCATGCGAGTTCCACATAAGGACACTCAGGAGTGCTTGTGTACTGACTCTAAAGAGGCTGCTCCCTCACCTGGGGGTCTCCTTCATCCTTCCCCCGCCCCCGTCATTCATGGCTAAATGCTCCATGCTCTGATCTTTGGCGGGGGCCCTGCTCCACCCCTCAGGAGCCGGATGAGACTGGTTCTCCGTGAGCCATGCACAGTCCAGGGCAGGGGTGGACAAGAAGCAAGGTCATGGCCACACAGGACCCCACGCAGGACTCCCCACTCTCCAGGTAGGCAAGGCTGCCTTCCCTACCGGCTCTTCCATTTATCAAGAGTTCAGCAGATATCTATCACCGTTGCCCATCCTCTTGCCACCCGTCCGCTGTCCGTGGCCAGTCCTCGGGCCTAACCCGAGCAGGCTTTTAGTAAATAATAACCTCTACAGTCTCTTAGTGCTTACCACAGGCAGGCCACTGTTTAAGGGCTTTAAATGTGGAATAAACTGTGGAGTCCTCCTCCTCTAAAAAGATAATTTTATGATGTCAGAGATTAGAGGCAGAAGTACTTATACACTGAGTGTTGTTTAAGCCCACTGAAATTAAGGCACGAAGCGTGTGAGAGATTTTCTGAGTCTTCTTGGGTCTGAACACCTCTGGAAGAAGTTCTCTGAATGTCTTTTGCATTAATGTTTCTCTAATGCTTTCTTGCGGCTAGGGGAAAAAATGATTCCCCTTCCTCTACCATCACCTAAAGGCCACATTTTATTTTAAGCGCTCTGTCATAGCTCCAGGAATGGTGTACATTTTTTATAAAAACACTTTAAAATATTGATACAGAATCTCAACACTGAAAGATTTATTTAGCAATCCTTTCATACTCAAAAATGGGGAGGGGAATGTCATACCATGATAATTTCTTTTTGAATTAACAGAAAAAAAATGTTCACATTTTTATTCCACTTAATTCTGCCTCCCCCAAATTAGCATATTCAGCATTTTATGCTTCAGTTATAATTCACTGGGCTATTTATCCATACCAATATTCATACCATGATCACGAGTGGGTGAGAAAAAAAATCTGGCAGCCACCACAGTATCCAGTTGCTCAACTGTGGACTGTTTTTCTCATTTGTATTATGCTGCTAAATATCTCAATAAATCAATGATGGAGAAAAGTATCTCCACAAATTAGTGGGGAAAATAACATTACAGAACTATTAGCAATAGTGAGATTTGTGTGACTGGTTTTCCATGCACCAGGAGGATCCCTGTGTCTAGACTCCAGCTCAGTCCACAATGGGGAGAACAGTACCCTATGTCCCGCTAGCAAAGAAAAATCCTCAGCACATAGTGCAGGGGCCTCTCGGTGCTGGGAACGGCTCACTCTTCTGAGATACTTGGATTCTTCAGCCTGGCTGTCTTCCTCTGGGGAATGAGTTGCGAAATCACCATCATGGAAACCTATGACCCTAACAGTAAGAGAAGAGTCATGGCCCTTCCAAAGCCAAAGCCCAGATGATTGGTCCCTGGATGACTGATCCCCTATCTCTCTGATCTCAGAACCAAGCCCTGTGTGGGGCCACACCTTCAACCTCCAGGCAGCAACCTCTTGGTATCCAGGGCACTCAGGGAGGTCCATGCTGTACGGGGAAATCAAACCCCACCAGTGTGCCTCTCGCCCTGCTCTTCCCAGCCACTGGGGCAACACTTCCCCAGACTCATTACCGAGACACTGTGGGAACAATTCCAGGTCCATTCTTAAGAAAGCAGGGGAGCGACTGAGAAAGAAGCTTTGCAAATATTGCTAAATCAGCCCCATGTCATTGCGAACCTGAAATCCTGTTCACTTCGGGGAAAGATGAATCAGATTCCACACGTGCAAGTCTGGCTCTGCACCTTGGTGGTTTTTCTTTCAAGAAATCCACCATTTGCTGCTGCTATTGCATTATTTGTCTACTAAAAGAAGGAAAGTGGCTAATATTGAAGATTCCCCCCAAAAGAAATCTTTTCTAGTACAAATAGGTTTTGCTATCTGAGACCATGCTTGTTGCTGGCGGATACAGTGAGTCAGCTTTTATCTTTCTGTGACTATGTCTCTTGCGCCCTG